ACTGTTTACCATTCTCTGTGGCTTATTGCAGATTTCATTTACATGATCAAATCTATTATTTTGAGAATCTAGGTACAATTGAAGAAAATTGTAGGCACAAAGCTCAGGTTTAATCTCTCTCAAAAGTATGTGGTGGTTAGAATGTGTATGTAAGGCTCCGAGCACTTTAAGAAGTGCTGCTCCAATGCATTTTGGCTCAAATTGTTTGGAGTACCCTTGTTTTTTGATTATGCTTCAGCAAATCAGGCAGAGATTCCAGCCACTTGAAACTTTTTAAATGAATGTAAGGTGCATGTTCTTTCAACTTTTGAATGGAAATAGTGGTTACTGAAAAATTTGAAAGTCTCTACTCAGGTACAGGATCATAGATGGCCGGCTCCTGTCTTAGTAATACTGAGAGTATACAGTGATTACCCTCTCTTAATGTTGCAACTAATTTAATGATGACTTTGAAATAATTGTCACTTGTGAATGATGAAAGCACCAGTATGCCCAGTCCAGCCAGAAAAGGTTTGCAATATAGAAATTTTCCAGATGTTTCGAGCTTCGTTAACTCTCTTGTAATTGTTTTCACAAATTTGGTGTTTTTTAAATATGGATTTTGTGATAAACATAGCCTTTATCAATACCTTCTAACAGGCAGTATCTAAATATACAGATGTAATTAATATGCTAAAACTGGATTAGATCAAATGTGCATTTTCTTGCTATATTTGTGTGATCCTCCAAACCATGCAGAAGCATGTGTGTGCACCCAAAATGCACTGCAACATTTTTGCTATCATTGTATGGAGAAACGTTTTACTGTGCTGTGGTAATGTGCAATACAACTTGCTCTTCCAGAAGCTGGCCACACCATACAGAGAATAGCTGCAACAGAGTATTAGATACACATTGGACAGCATGCTCTTATAATTCAAATTATACTTATTATATGAAAGCCCACATAATTGAGTATTTCCATACCTAAATGGTCGTATTTTGGAAATTAAAAAGAGTTGCACAAGTACAATATAGCTTAATTGTTGAAAATGGAACTGAACCATTTTTAAAATAGATGAATTTAGACTATATATCCTTCTTACTGACCCTAGACTGAGTATTCTCAGGAAAATCATTTTATTTTCTGTACTTAATTAGCACCTTAGTCCAACCCTGAGCCCAGCATAGTTGTGTGTTAATCCTGGCAAAACATCACTGCAGCACTTTTGTTAATGGCATATTTTAAAGCAACGTAACTGTTCTTGGATCTTCTGTATATATGCAGTGGTACAGGAAAACTTCAATCAGACTAATGACTGGAACTGGTTAAAAAAATTGGAGAAGTATTACACTTGTGCAAGTTTAGCATTCAGTGACATGTTTTCATAGTTGCTTTAAAAATTGCTTCACAGTCCAGGATTGAGAGAGAGGTCTATGATGCATTCAACTTAGATTGTGATAGTAGATTTAAACTGGTTTAAATAGAACTTTAACTAGCTTGTAGATTAGTCTGCAAGTGAGATTTTCTAACTTTTCTCCATAATGGTAAAGCCAGTTTAAAAAGATTGAGTTACATTTTAAGTGTCTTTCCATTCAACAACACCCCCCTAAATTGGATTGAGAAGTCTTGAAACAAATCCAAGTTGTATGAGAACTACAATTCATTAAAGTATCTGAAATGACAAATCAGCAGATGTTAACAAATAGACATCATCCTACAGGAGTCACAAAAGGTCTGTTGTGTTTGTGTACAAGCACAAAGAAGATGCTAGGTTTGGGAGTTAAGTAGCTGCTGCATAGAGGATTTTATGTACGTGGGTTCCAAGTGGTATTTTTGATTTCATATATAAATTTGAACAATAAACAACCCCAAAGGCTTGTTGGTTTCAGGAAGGTTTATTAAAACACAGGTCAAAAGCTGCTTTGGAAACTCAGTGACAACTGAGTTAATGAAGAGCCACTCTGGTTACTTGAAGAATGAAAACATATTTATTTCTGTTTCGGTAAAATGGTGAACCTTCCAGTTTGTGTAGCAGTTGGGTATGCTGGGTCCTTTCGTTTAACCCATGGTAACTTACTGGCATGATTTAGGTGCTTGCAAAGGCCAGTCCTATGACTGCACAATACAAGCACGGATTGGGCTCATGCTGGTACTGGGGGAAAAAAAAAGAAGGAAATCGGGCATGTTTGTGCATCTCTGTCTTTTGAAGACATTCCATTATCCTAGAAAGTTGTAAAGAATATGCTGCCACCAGAAGGCACGCCTGCTGAATAGGTGACACGTAGCACATAGTATAAGATGTATGCAAACAAGGACATGGCTGTTTTGACTGGTGAAAAACCTCCTGCTGGTGATATAAATTATGCTTTAAGCATTTTTAATGTGCACTTATTCTAACTATGCTTAAACCTGCAATTATATCTTTCAATTTCCTTAATTTCGTCTCCATTTTTCTGGAATGGGAGAGCGGGGCTGGGGTAAGGGAGGGGGGCAGGAGGAGAATGGTAAGGTGGATGGGAGAAAGTGAAGAAAAATATATACTTTTAGGGGGAAAGTAGGTGCTATTTGCATGAAAAAAGGGAAAAAGTCCTACCAAAATAGTTCTAGACACAGTTAGCACTGAGCATATAGTTAGTAAATAGTTTTAAAGCTTCAAAAGCAACGTGTTTTCAAGCATGAAGGTATCTAGTGTACTGAAATTGTTTTCAGAGGCTCTGATCTAGGAAAACAGAAGGCTGCGCGCCCCATTCTGCCATAGCAGAGCGCATCCTAGCCATAGTTCCATTAGCAAGGGGCAGCTGGACTACGTTGAAACCTACACTCCCTTCGCTTGGCCTAACAGGTGACCATTCCATCAGAGCTGACAGTGTGAGTTGCACTGCATGCTGTTTTGCACATGCGGAGGGCCCTCGGGTGCTGGGGCCATGCAGCACACTTTGTGCTGGCGAGAAGGCAAAACCCATGTAACAGTGTGTGGATCAGAGCTGTACTGTGTAGGATATTTGTTTGGAAGCATTTCTACAAGCCTATATTTTCCACATTGTCATTTCATGTAAACTCAACTTGAAATTTTGCACTAAATACCAAGGAAGTGTTAATTTGCTTTAGCTCTGTTGCTGCCTTTCCGAATAAGCAAACAGCTGAAAATCTGTACAAAAAATGAATAAACAAACTCCAACCCTTTAAAAAATGCTTCAACCACTATGTAGGATATGGTCTTAATTTTTTTGGTAACTTTTACACAAAAAGCCCTGATCCAAGGGAAGTTAATGATCCCCAAGTCCTGCTAGAATTAATAGGGCTTAAGGAAGTCATGATTGCATTAAGGAAGTCATGATTGCATTATCCTAATATAACAGGTATTGGGTACAACTAACTTTTTCTAGATCGGGCACAAAATATTATTTGAGGTTATGGATGATTAACCTCTCTTGTTCATATAGTGGTGTATAAAATTATAAACAAATGTATAATTGTGGGGTTTTGTTTTGTGTACTTTTTTAATTTTTCAAATGTTTTAAAGTGCAATTGTTTCTTATACTAATGTCATTTTAATTACTATTAAATTATAATCTGCTGAAAGTTATCAGAAGATGTATGGTATTTGTTGTCTCTTTGTTAAAAATGTCAGGATTACCTTATAAGGGGAGCCTGAATTGCTATAGGAATCAATGATGTGTTTTTACCAAATATAAAGCCTAAGTAAAATTATCTATAACTAAGGGATATATTAGTGCAATTTCTATTTTCAGTTTTTGATTGTCAGATTTTAATGTAAATGGTCCATCCCTGAGAATTTGTTCTATTTCAATAAAAAAGACAGGTGTTTCTGTAGTTGCTATGAAAGTACTTTTTATTTACTCTTGGTTTTTTGAAAAGCTAAAAGTAGTGATATGAGGTTATTTAATGAAGAATTTATCTTGGTTAGTTGGAAATATGGGAAAATGTTCCCATGTGGAAAGTGCTGTAGAAGATCCTTTATTGCATATGAGTGAATCAGAAGGGCAATGGGGGTTGGGGCAGTCAACCAGGAACTTCTCCCAAGTAAAAGCAACAAAAGCAAGCTGCAATTAAAAGGTCTCATATTTGTTTTTAATGAATAATTTACCAAAAAATGACAATAAAAGATCTAAATATGATTAACAGACTGACTGGGTTCACACAATTTGGGAAGGCAAAAGAAGCCACGGTAGTTTGCTTTCCTTGTCCTGCACAATTATCCACACTGGGCACAGGCTGCTATGTTATCTGACTGCAGCTGGGTGGCTTCCAGACCATTCTTCCAAACCATGGCTTATTCTAGGCTTCTGAGGTGGTTTGGGAACCAGCTGCTGGCCCTCGACTGGATTCAAACACAAAAACCTGTGCCCAAAGTGCGTAACTATGAAAATGAGGCAGTACAAGATTGGCACATGCAGGGCAAGGGGAAAAAGCCACAATAGTTTCTTTTCCTCTCTCTCTCTCTCTCTCTCACGCGCGCGCGGGCGTGAGAGAGAGAGAGAGAACACAACTTCCATTTCTTTGGTGAACCCATTCTGCAATATCTAAGGCTTTTTTAAACCATTGCCTAAATGTTGCAGGTTGATGCTGCTCTCTCATCATAACCACAAAGAATTTTTTGGAACAAGCAAATCTGTGCTTTAGCAAATTCATGTTTCAGAGTACTCTTGAGAAGCATATACTGCTTTTATTTTTTGTCAAAACTATATACCATTTCTGAAAATGTATTAGTGGATAAATTTTGGCATCTAACCCAGTCCAAACTCACCACATATGTTAGCCAATAATAACCATGTTTATGGAAAGCATATTTATACAATGTACACCAGCATAAAGATGTCAAGAAAACTTTGTTAATTTAAACCCTAACACGCTGAATTGAGTTATTTTTTTCAGCAACTAAGATAATCTTTTTTTCTGTGCAAAGTTATCTGTTTTGTTTTCTAAAGACTGGCTCAAAAGATGCATACTAATACTAAGATGTTAGAAGTACAAAAAAGAGGCAATACTGAGGAGATCAGTTATACAATTTTATTGGTTTCGGACAGACATACATCTAAGCAATAAACATAGTTGTTTCTACAGCCCACAATGATCATTGTACCCCACACCACAGGAGAGGAGAACGCTTCTCCTGGAAGTTTCCCTGTCCCTTCTACTAACCCACTCTTGCTGTTCAGGATCCATATGCTGCCATCTGTAGATACCACTGCCAGTAGTGTTTTACCATGACTATGGAAAACAAATGGGGTCGCATATACAGCAGACGTGGTTTCAAATTTCCACAATAAATTACCTTCCATATCACAGCAGTAGGTAAAGCAGTCGTGAGAACCGAAGAATGTATCTTTTGCTAAATTTGAAATACATGGTGATGAAAAAATTGGTCCATTGCTGGAAAACTCCCAAACCTATATGACAAAATTTAGAAATTAAAGTTCAGTTAGTGTAACAAAAGAGCTAGTTTATCTGTTATTATCAAACTGCTGATGCAAAGGACTATAGTCTTAACATCTTAAGGCTAGTTTTATATATTCAGTGCAAGGCTTAATTCTGTAGATTCATACCATTCATTAGATTTGCCATTGCTATTTGCATGATGAGACAACTCAACATGGGTAACCAGGCATAGTAGGTTGTTGTAGTGACTGAACCCACCCAGCTTCCTGCACTAGGGCTTATTTCCGGGCAACAAGTCTCCAGTACTTTAGAAAAGGAAGCTCTTAAGAACCTTTAAGGCCATGCTGGATCAAACCAATGCTCTAGCCAGTCCAGCACACAGTTTGCATGCTAGCAAATCAACTGCCCACAGAGTCCTTCAAGCAGGATACGTAGAAGAGTTTTGCCTATTCAAACTGGTGTACGCAGGCAAAATACCTCAGAAAACAAAAGTAGCCATGGTCATCTTGCCTCAACTTACCATCATGGCCACTTTCCAAGTCTCATTTTCAGAGCACTTGCCACTGTGGTTACTGTGTTTCCGGATAGTTTTTAAAAATGCATGATCTTTGGGTCTGGGAAATATATGCAAATCTAATCGCTGGGAAATATATAAAGGGGAAATTTGTGCACCTGCATTAATTGCTTCATTATGTTGCTATCACAACTCATTCAATCACTGTGTGTGAAGCATGCAAGGATTAGCTGTCACAGATCAAATATTACATATACAGCCTTCATATCACTTCAGCCACATTTGTATGGACACAGTTCCCATGTTCAGCTGCAAGTCATCAACAGATGAGCCCCCCCCACTGGACTGCTTTAAAGTGCCCACATGAGGATTTGAAATCACTGACACAGAAACTAAAAGGGCAGACTATTCCATAGACTCACTGCTGTTGGCAATACGAGGTCACAAAATTAATTTAGCAGTAGGGTGCACAAGACATAAACGTTGCTTGAACCAACGAGAAATAGTGAGCACTGCACTACAGTGTATAGGACTTGCACTGCAAGTCTTATGGAAGGAGATTCAACATGGCTTCAAAGCAAGTCCTGTCTTATTCAACCATTGTTATGCTGCTGCTTATCCTACATTCCTATGCCTCATCTTGGAAAAACAGGTGGCTATACATATAAGAACATAAGAAAAGCCATGCTGGATCAGACCAAAGGTCCAGCACTCCGTATACATGGTGGCAACCAGCTGCCAATGGGATCCCTAAAGCAGGATGGGCGCAAGACCTCTGCCTGCTCTTCAGCAACTGGTGTACATACAAGCATCATCTAGTCAACTTAAAAGTGAATGCTAAAGTAGCAAATTACTATTCAGAGTTCAATCTAAGTATTGACAACTAGTATTAGTAATGAGAGAGCTTCTTACCTTTTCTCCAAAATGGCTAAAGCAATACAAATTTCCATCTACACAACCCACACACACATAGTCCTCGTTGCAATGTGGTGAGGAGAAGAGAGGCTTTCCACAACCTCTTTTCCAAACTGTATTCCCCATAAGCTGTGAATGAATGGATGATGCATTCTATTTTAGGATGTACCATGATTTCAGCTAACAGTTAAACACAGCACCAAGGCAAACACCTGGGAATATCTGTTACTGGGAAAATGGAAATTTCCTGAGCAAGCAAAACATTCCTGCAGTGAAGCTATTTTAATCATTTTGCTCCTGGACATATTCCTAGGAATATAGAGAGAAAAGATCCAATAGATCAAGTCCTGGGTGGAAAACAAGATTTAGTGAAGCTGAATGACATCAAAGGGATTCTGTCATCAAAGGGGTGGGATGTCATCAATTGTTCTCCATCTGGTGAACCAAACAGAGGATTCTCCTACTGCATTCGCTGGGAACCAGCTTTGCCCTATGTGGGGCTCCTTCCATGGGACAAGGCCACACAGAGCAAAGCTGCTTCACCTGCTCTGCTCATTCTCACACTGGGGAGGAGGACACAGGTGAAGTTGAGAACTCTACTTGGCTGGCACAGGCAGGAGATCTAAATGGGAGAGCTCTCTGGTGCTTGCGGAAGAGTCTAGGTAACATTTCCCACATTTTGGCTATGTCTTGTGGGACTGTGGAGTTATATACCTTTCAGCAGAGCCACATATTTCTATGATTGCTACAATAAACTTTATTGCACTTGCTGCCAGATCCGTTCTGTGGGGCAGTGGAATATAATTTTTTGCCAATAGTTATGACCTGGTTTGCATGACACAACACCCTGTTTGGTCAGCTAATGGTAGATTGCTCTGTAGCTGATTTTTGCAAACAAGCCACCCTGACAAAAAACGGCTTCTTAGCAATTGTTCGAAACCAGACAGGCTGTCATGTTGCCTGAATCTGGGAATTTCAGCACAGGTTGTTGGGATCTTGGTAAGAACAGCAAAAAAAATCCTGTGCTTCTCACTTTCTGTCATCTTACCCCTCTTCTGGACATCAGCATGGCATGTGGGAAGGATCAGCACTTTTATTTTGCCTTTTTGAAAAGAAAAATGGGGGCCCTAAAAAATGCGTAACTCAGGACATCTATTTTTGATTTTTCTTTGTTGGTCTTTCACAAGTGTGCTCTCAAATAAGTGTAGCTTTGATGGTTAATTGTCTTGTCTATTTTAGTTGGCAAAGCAATTGACAAAACTAAATTGTACATAAGCTAATTTGCACACATTGTTAAGGCCAGGGTGGAAATAATAGTAAAGGAGACAAGTCAGAAATGCTTAAAATGGGGGTGGGACACCAAAGAAGTGCACCAAAATCCCCCCCTTCCCCCTGCAATGTGATCCTCTCACTTTTACATGATGAATTTCAGTGCCTTTCACCTTTTCAATACTAAAATTGCAAAGACATCCATGCAAATTTCTGGGTCTGGAGAAAAAAGGGTGATGAACTAGGAATGATCCCTCCAAAGGGCTGTTTAGTGGATGGGAAACCACTACTGAGGGACCCTGGCACATAGCCTGGGCAGGGTTGTGACAAGCAGCTCTGTACTTGATTGTGGCAACCATGATAAAGTTGCTCTCTTGGGTGCAAATGACACAAGAAGCCAACCTGTTAAACAATCAGTGCTTTTCTTTTTTCCTCTAAAGGTATTTGTTGCTGCAAAAGTCATCCTTTTGCCTTGCAGTTTGCATAGCTACGTAAGGGCTGCAAATTCGTTCTGCAGCCCCTCTTATTCACTTTACAGAGTTCCTAGCACCTTCAGAGAGGATGGGTCAGGATGCATTTCTGCACCACACACAGCAACAAGGTTACTTACGGGATTTATGGCTAGTAGCAGTCCCCCGAGTGTTGCAATGTACAGGTGATGGGGTAAAAGATGGAGTTGCGGAGAGGAAAATACAGCTCCACCTTCAGTGTGCAACTTCCAGACACACTCTTCTTTCTGTCAATATGACAAGAGATAAATATCAGCTTATACCATTGCTCAATCAGGCAAACGTTGAATGTTGTGAGTGAAGACTCACAATATAAACGACCCACACTTTCGCAGGCAATAAAACTAAAGTCTTTTATTGCTACTTGTCTACAAGATTGACAACGCTACAGATAAGCTCTACTGCAATGGTCTTTACACGGCAGTTGCTAACTCCTTAGTGACGTCCCTCAGGGAACCCACGTGGGACTAGCTTTCTTCGCCCCACCTTTCCCCCCTGAGGTGGGACAAAGCTTCCTTCTGCTCAAATCGGCGTAGAGAACGTCTAACGAGTCGCGTTGGACAAATCTACCCCGCCTCTTGTGTCTCCTGTGTCATGTCCAGGAGGCTCAACATCAGCAGGAAGGGGTGCTGTCCGCCCACGCTCTCCCAGGGCAGAACTTATAGTGCCTTTTCCCTCGGGGCCCTCTTGGTCTGACATAGGTTCAGCTGTTTGCCCAATGGGTAAAGGGTCAGAATGTGGGATGGCTATCTGCTCAGCTATTCCCAAGTCAGGTTGTGGAAGGGACATTTGGCCACAGGGTCTCAGGTATAAATCCTCCTGTTCTGATGTCTGATTCTCTCTTTGGGTGTTTGGCCTTTCCCCGTGAGGTGCTGCCTCTGTCGGGGTGTCAGGCACGATACTGAACTCCCAAAACAGACAGGCCAGTACATTGAAAATGTGGTCTTCTCCTATGATAAATCATTGTGCTCAAAGTCTATCCTCCTCCTCCAGGAACTAGTATGGGGAGAGAATTTTTGCTTCATAAGCTAACAGAGCAATCCCAGGGCTCCCAGGTAACACTCAGAGGGCCACAGGATTTTCAGAGTCCCGGCTCCAGTTCAGAAGACAGTTCTGATTTTGCTTGGTGCGCCTTCTCCACCTCCACATTGCAGCTGTTGCAGAAAGGGGAAGAGACGAGCATCACCAAAGTATTATGCATCTGCAACAACTTCAGCCTCCTTGTGTTTCTCTCTGAAGCACCAGTTAAGTGGCTGAAATTGACCCCCCTAGTTCCTCCTGCACTTTAAAGAATGCCTGTAATCTGTCTAAACCTTTACACACTCAACAGAGATCTACTAACTGTTCAGGAAATAATGAATAATGTTGTAACTTGCTATTCAGTTTCTGCGAAGTGTTAGCACTGGTGGAAATCATAGTGTGATAAGAACCTTAGATTATAATTCTGCATGGACTTCCAGGAAGTAAATCACATGGAACTCAATGAACCTTACTCTTGAGTAGACACACAAAGGGCTGCACTGTTATTAGTTAAGATGCTGGGGTTGTAAATACCACATAATCTGATCATATTTTAAGATACAAGTTAATTAGACCTGCTATTAAAATGGGTCATACTGGTTATGGAGTTTGAGCTAGATTTTATTGCCAAGAGGTTGGACTGCAATTCTAAGGACCCTTACTTGGAAGTGCATTCCACTGAATTCACAGTTACCTGGACTAAACAAATACTGAGGATGCATCATCATTCATCCTTTTATCTAGCATTCATGAACACTTACATAAATATCTAAAGCATATACATGCTGGTCATGCGATCCAATGAAGACCAGCCCTGTGGAAGGATCCACAGCTGCAGAACTTTTCACAGCGTCATCAGTGGCAAATGACCAGTGTATTTCACCATTATTGCTTCTGAGTACATATACCACTCCATTATAAGATCCTGCGTAAATACACAGCATAAATATTTAGTCAAGCATTGCACTTTAAGAAAAATATTTAAGGTGCAATTATAGACATGTTTGGACAGGAGAAGCCCTACAACTCCCAGCATTCCTTAGGCAGTCGGTTGTTGGACTTGTGCCTAAATATGCACAGGATTCTACCCTTAATCACAGAAATCTCCAACTGTTTCCCATGTATCTGAACATTTGGCATCAGTTTGCAAAATCGGCAGCATTTGATATAAACCTGTTTCCACCAACAAGCACAAGATTCTCATGTTAAAACACTAACCAAGGACAAGTTCCATTAAATTTACTATGATATAATTTCAGACAAACAAGCAAGCAAGCAAGCAAGCAAGCAAACAAAATAGAGGGAATGAATCTATTGCCCTGGCCACTCTCTGAGTGACCACAGGACAGTTCAAATTCCCAGTTCCAAGACTGGGAACACTGCTCAGACCACTGAGCTTAGAACTGGTGCTCTAACCCCCTTTCTCCCTACAGCTAAAGTTAAAAGAACTCACCAGCTGCTTTCTAAGGCTGGTAAATGACCTCAGAGAGGGATTTAAAAGGGGCAAGGAGGGGAGATTAGAATGGGCAGGATGCAAGGTATCCTGATGCTGCACTGGCCTGCTTCCCTCCCCCTCCAAAATGGTGGTCTAGCAAAAATGCAAAAGAGGAAGCAGATATCACCTCTGCTGTGCCTGTTGCTCTGTGCTGGATGCTGGTAAAACTCCAATGTTTGGGGCTTACATGTATGCTCACAGGATTGCCCTTAATTCAGTAATCATGGATGGGTTTTATTAAATCCCTAGTTATTGATTAATCCTTATTTAAATTTTTAACCAAAAAAAAGGGAAAAGCACTATTTAAATACAAACCAACAATGATGAAGTTCCCACATTTAGATGCACAAGCGGAAGATTCAATACGATCAGCAAGTTTTCTCTCCCACTTGACATCTCCTGAATGTAGGTCAAGTGCTTGAATCACATGCGAATGGGACCCAATATATACGAAGGCAGATACTTTTTCAGTGATCGATATCAGAATCAATGGAGATGCATCCACACATTTGCCCAGGTCTGATTTCCATCGTATGTGCAACATCAACTTCTCAGCTGTTTGTCCAAGAGTTTCTTGTCCAGGACTTTTTTTAATAGACTCCGTTTCCATTATATTTGCATTGCTGAACTTTCCTTTATCACACTTACTCTTCAAAATTTCACTCTCACTTATATCCTCCTTCTTCAGGGGCTCACCAATGGACAATGACCGGTTTCCTCGGCTTACTGCAATAAATCTAACTGCAGCTGCCTCAGCTGCCAAGGACCTTTCTGATTTTGGTTCGCCATACTTTTTACTGGGCTCTTCGCTGCTGCCCCCACTCACTTTTCTTTTTACAGCACCACTGCAGCTTAATTTTAAGTCATCCTTTGGGAAAACTGTTTTTAGGACATGGTTGTACACTTCTCCAATGGAGTTACTGAGAATAATTTCCAAGAGGCTGGGGACAGTCCTGCCTACCATATGTTCAATTTCATCAAGGAACTGCAATGATTTTAAGGAATCTCCACCACTGTGCAAAAACAATGAGTCTTTTAAAATGTTGCCGGAATCATCTGGAAGGTTTAGGAGAGACTGGGATGGGATGGGGAAAAAGAAGAAACACAGCATATTATATGTGCATATAGGTGTATATCCAACACTGAGATCGGTTAGAAATCTACAAAGCAACCAGAGCCCAGGACTCTCAAAAAAGCCAAAACCAAGCAGAGACAGCCAGACTAGAGATATTCCAACTAACAGTAGAATCCAATTATTATATTGAATTTATTTTATATCCCCTCTTTCCGTCAAAAACCAACAAAAAGTGGTGTTCAGTGTGGCTACCAATTTTTTTGCTGATGATTCTCCCTGTAGCCCTCAACAAAATCTACTCGGTGTGCTTGGGATTGGGGCAAATGAGCACTGTAGGGACACAGAAGGAGAAAATTCATTTGTTCAAGCAAAATCTGTCCACATAACACTGGATTTTGTCTCATCACCGAAGCTACACAAATATGTCATTTTAAAAAAGCAACAACTGGGGTGTATTTCTAGAGAGAAATAAAACAGTTCTTATTGACATACTGTTCGTAGATAGGAAAAATAAGGAGTTATCTTCCTTTATCCTCAACTGTAACTTTCTCTCATGTTGTCCCCTCCCATTAATTTATACTGGAACATCTGCTCAAACTGAACAACATAATCAAATAATGTGTATACATCGTGAACACCTGGCAGTAACGCAAGACTGGGAATATGCAACATTTAAAATTCTATATAGGATTAATGTAAACTATACTTCTGAAATCCATACTGCAGTTAGATGCCTATGCTAGAATTACAAGAAAGTGACATAAATTATGTCCATTTTTATGCAGTTTTCAGGTGATAAAAAGTAAAATCTAAAATTTATTTTGATATGAAAATACATGCTCTGTTCCTTTGGTGCTTATATACTACCAGGGCAGCTAACAACAAATAAAACCAATCGCAAAATACGATAAAGCCCACTCTCCCCAAAACATCAAACATGATAAAAACAGAGACAGGTCCAGAGGCTAGCACAGGTGTCTGGTACAAATGCAGTTATCCAATAATAGGGGGCCTCAACTTTTTTTTTCCCTCATGGATCCCTCTTGAGCCTTATTTAGCCCTGTGACCCTTCCCATAGTTGCTGCTAGCCACAGCAAAGGTACTTTACTATCAGCTCTGTGGTCTCCTAGAAATATGGCATGCCCCCTGAGGCGGCCATATAACCCATGCTGAGAAATTCTGGTCTAAACAGATATTCCTAATAAATTGCCATATATTAGGAAATGCTACAGGTGTTTCCTATTATCATTCTACAGTTACTTCCAAATAAATACTGATAGCTCATTTCGCATGGCAGTAATTCACCTTTTATGCTACAATTGCTTACCACCACCAAAATGTCTAGCTTTTAGGAATAAAATAATCATTTCCATGCAGTTTCTGTAGGGAAGCTGTATTTAAAAGCCAAATGAATGGCAGGTGTTACAGCACATTTGGCAAAACTGTTCTGACTGCAAGTCTTGCATTCAAAAGTAGTTACTGATGGATATGAGAACTCAATTGCTCTGATACAAAATGATGTAGCTTAAAATAGTACCTTCCACACACTCTGCAATCTTTCCCATAATTCTTCTTCCTTGATCAGCTTACTGTCTCTCTTTCTAGAGTTCAGATGATTATTATAAATCAGGCTCAGTTCAGACACATCAATTTTGCCTTTGTATGAAAGAAAAAGTAAAAGAATTTCATTATGTGAACATTAAGCTAAAAGTTTTACTGGGGACAAATAAACATGCTCATCTATTTTATTATAACAAACTAGGTCCAGAGAATCTATATATACCATTGCAGTAAAACACTCTAAAATGCAATTCCCCAATTTCAGCTAACATAAGAATATGAAAGAATGAGTTGAGACAGAACAGTCATGTACAGAGCACAATTAAGGGCCAAAAACTGAGCCCCAGGTCAGAGGAGAAAGCAGTGGCACATAGTTCACTGACTAGCCAGATTAGCCCTGTGTGCCTAGCAAGTGTGCTTTAGATACTGGTTTTCCCTTAGCCTTCTCACACTCTGCATGGGAAAGCACTTCTGACGGTGTTTCAGAACAATCTGCAATATGGTATGGGCCTCTAGTTTTCTGGAAAATGAGTAATTCCCACCATGTGCGTACAAATCCAACAAGCAATTCTCTGACCTGCGGCTTAGTTTTGGTTGAGATTCATTGCATCATTCAGCAGCTTTTGTTTCTACACATAAATTAAGCATAACAAAGTGCAGTTATGCAGAAGGTGATCTGCCAAATGACACCTCTGCATAATTTTTGCAAGCATGTTAATTCCTTCATCATGTTCTCCAGCTTTTAAATGTTTGTACTTGGTCTATGCTATATATGCTTTTTAATAATATACTCCAATTTAAACTGTAAAGTGACTGAAATGCTTATAAATTAATAAAGGCAGTTTTCAAGCATAAATTCTTTTTACCATGTGATGTTACTGGCAAACTGTCAATCAGCAAAAGTTCATCCGGGACTGCATAGCTAGGAAGACATTCCTTGAGTTTCTTCAGAAGATCTCTCTTCTTAAAAATGTCTTTGGGCACAACGAAAATAATTAATTTTTCCTCCTGATACCATATCACAGCACAGGTTTCCACTTGACAGCAGCCTTCTGCAATCTGCAAAATAAAGTAACCACTCATAAACAAGAATTACAGACAGGCAGAAACAACATCTAAGGAAAAGAACCCCCTACATTTGAATTTTTCTCAACTCTTTCTTCGTTGCATAATGCAAATAAAATTTAGCAGTCGTAAAAAATGGTACTAGATACATAACCCTGGAATTTTACTGGACATTGCTGAACTGTTGGACCTAGACAATAAGAAATATGGAAGAGCTTAGATTCAGATTAGGCATGCGCAACTGGGCTGGTGGAAGCAGAGTTCCTCATCCCCTCATCCCCAGGAGCCCCTCAGTACCCATGAAAAGGCTACAGAGGGCTGGGGAGCCTGCATGGGAGGCCCCATCCACTGTAGAGCCATTTTGTGGTGGCATCCACAGAATTTTATGAAATTCCCAAATGTGTCCATGGATTCGTAAAGACTGAGGCTACTGTCTTACTGAATAAACTACCTTACTGGTGTAGGAGTATATAACTCTCCAGTTACACAGGCAAAATGGAGAGGCAGCTATTTATCAGCTACAGAGAGAAGAGAGATGGAGAGCAATGCTGGAAATAAATACAAATGTTTTAATTGTGTCAGATAATTGCTCAACATTTTTTAAGTCCTGTCATGAACATCAAACCGCATGATGTAAATAAAAGTTAAGCAGGCTCTTCCAAGTACTGTTGGCTGTGGTTACGATTCAAATCCTCAATTTTTTTCAAAATAACTCTCTTTCTCTGAAAATGTTCTGGACAACTATGAATCAAGAGGGGAAAACGTGTTTCCAAATATACTTTCTCTTGGGCATTTGTTGCAGGACAAAGCTATCCACACAGCGAAAATAAGTTTTGTATTCACTGCTGAGCAAATCACTGTATCCTCAATACTATTTTAGAGAAACACAAGTTAAGGAGCTACAAAAATAAAACAAGATGGGGGAAGAATAGAGGAAAGACTGAAAGCTTTTCTTTTTATATTTTCTCTGCTCTTGCCCTGCCTTACTTCCCAGCTGAAGGCGTCTCTGCTGAACCTGGCTTAAGTAAGTCAGCTTCAGTGGATCTTTTTTGACTCAGAGACAGCTAGAATGGCACCCTCCTGTCTAGTTAGACTGAGAACCACATGGCTCAAGCAGTCTGGGGTAGGCAAAGTGGTATTTGTAGGCACCAATGCACCCCTGGACACCTTCCCTGGAACTAGCAATCATCCCATTTAAAAAAAAAAAGTAGCACATGCTCTTGCTAACAATGGGGCTTGCAGTGAAATAGGTTTCTGTTAGGGCTGCTACTTATTGCACTGGGACTCAGACCTTACCTCTTAACTTGTTTTCAGTCTCTGGGGCAGGTTACACAACTTTTGCCAGGCCTCCCCCCGCAGCCTTTTTGTGCTGCTGCGCAGGATAGTTCCTCAAACGTGTTTACAGCTGGAAAAGTTGGCTTATTCCTCTTTTATTGGGAGCTCACTGAAGGCAGTGACTTGTATCATCTTAACTAACTTCTGCAAACAGACCACTTTGCATCTCTTCAGTGAAACTGACTGAAGGGAAATGCCTGCATGCTAGTTTCTACTATCAGCATTTAAAGGCATAATGAAGGTAATTCACATGTGCAAGCCAAAAGCAGATAAAGATAAGTGGCACAGTGCAGATTTAAAATTCCCAGCCTCTTATCAACCTGGCTTAAAACCTGCATCATGATGGATGCCCTGACCAGTGTCAAGTACAATTAAAAGGAACTTAAGTGTGGGAGAAGAGGGGAAAAAGCAAATGCAAAGAGAGCTTCAGGAAAAGGAAACACTGAATTTCACACCTGCTCTCAAATATGATTTAAGTAGAGACTGGGAAATTACATCTGCACCAGGCAATCACTAAAAGTATATTTTTAAAAGCTGAAGATCAAACGCCTCTCACTTAATTACATGTTAATGGTAAGATCATGTTAAGTGCTAAGAAAACAAGCTATATCAGGTAATAACTAAAGTGTGTTACCAAGGAAGCATATTGCTCTGCTACTTTTTCCCTAGCACACTGGCTCCAGAATCTCTATTTTGACTTGATAAGTACATAAATCTAGCAACTGGATACCTAGAATAATAAAGCAGCAAGATGTTCTGGATGGTTTCCATTAGCATAGGTTATAGGAGTGACTCTATGGTTCATATGATCATGGAGGGTGAAATAAGCCACACTGGCTTATTTTCCCTGCTGTGCACCCTGGTTGTGCACCAGGAAGAGTTGCATCATTACTCTTGCCAAAATGGTTTGGTGTGAACCAAGCAAGGGTGGCTTGCTACTACTGTTTTACCGAGAACACATGGGCTGTTTTAGGGTTCTGGTTTGGCTCACTAGTAATGGCAACAAGACACCGTTGTTGAATTTGCATGACATGCACTCACGAGGCTAATTGTGCAAATTCTTTTGGCATGAACAGTGGTGAAGTAAACTATCATGACTTATTCCCTATTATGTGATTCTGAAAGCTGGATTAATGGGGGAATATCCCTGGTGTCTATCATCCTCCCTTCTCAATATTCGAGATCTGATTCCTCCCTCCATCTCTCTCAGGCTTTCCATCTTTTACCTCTCCTTTAGATTAAGCAACTTGGTTTTTTTAAATAAATATTTTGTTTGATTATTTTGGTTTGCTGTCATATTGACTGAATACAAGAGTATCATTTCCATCATAGTGCCCTAGGATTCTTTGCTTAAGAACTGAGCAAATATCAACTGGTCATACACAGAAATGTGTATGCATACAAGGGTAGAAGAGAATAAGCAGTAGCCTGCACCAAGTGCCCTTCCATTACTTTTTGCTTCTACTAAACGCTTATCCTAGCCCATGTATGCCTCTACTGTACACAGCTTCTTAAATCCTCCCCTTTGCATCTCAGTTCCTCTTGCACAGGAGGTATAAAATTTGAGGACTATGAACTGCATGGCCTCTTTATTTCCTTGGAAGGTCTATTCCAGAGCAAGCTAACCTAGTGCCCTTGAAATGTTTTGGGCTGGCAGCATCAGCCCGTATGGCTAATGATCAGGGATAGTGGAAGCTGTAATCCGAAGCATCAGGAAGGCACTGGGGTACCTACCACTGGTTTCTCCTTCCAAAGGTGATATTACAAACCCAAGGAGCATCCATTTTCCGGACACTTCATGGCCCAAAGTGATTCTCAAGAATGTACGAAACCTCTGATAGATACAGAGCATTACCTGCTGTACATATTCAAGGTTAAGACGCTTCCCATGACGCTTAATTTGATTGTCTTTTCGTCCCAAGAAAAACATCTCACAATCCTTAACTATTACAAAGTCTCCAGTTTCTCTAACTGTGCCCATAGGCAGTGTTACTTCATCATCAAGGAAACAGACACGTTCTTCACCTCCTGTGCAAAACAAGATGAAGCTGTATGTCAGTCTCCCCACTATATGGACCCACAAAACGCAGACTGAAGCACGAATCTGGAAGCTCCCCCTTCCAATTAACTGCAGCTTTGTGCTGTCTGAGCCAGGGATCATGGCTTAACATTAACTATTGCTAATTTCAATAAGCCTACTTCATAGCCCAGTTTGACGTTGCCTTGTTTTGATGTCTGCGGAGTATGCAAGAACTTTGGCCATAGCACTACCCATAATTGAATAAATAAATGAATAAATAATATAAGAAGCCAGAAGCAGGGCACGATAGCAACCATCTGCCCATTCACACCAATCCATCATGCTGCTACTGACCCTTTGGGTTCATTTAGTTATCATGATGATTAACAACTGTTGAATGTGCCCCAGTATCTTTTTGACTTGTTTGGTCATAACCTTAGGTAAATGAATTCCATAAATTTGAATGGAAAATGAATGTAATGAATTTAAAATGTTAAATAGGGAATCACCTAGGAACACTTGACCTTCACCTTCTAGAATGGCAGAACCATTAGCCGCTTTGACTCCAACTATCGTTCCAGACAGTGGGGTTCCAAGTGGTACAAGCAAATCAAATCTAAAGTCAAACAGTAAAAAAGGGAGAAGGAGAAGGCGGGGAAGACAGAGATGGGAATCACGTATCAAAATATGATTCAGACAACCAGAAAAAGAAATAAATCAGTTGAACGTTTTCCAAATGCTTCCTTTAACATGAATTACTACTTATATTAAAAATATAACACAAGCACCTCAAAATATGAGCACTTCTTTCAGGCCTTTTTATTCTGAAGTCAAGTGTTAAGGGCCTGGCTGTGAAATATTTCCTCATCCTAAAACACCTACGGTAACACGCTGAGGTTGTTTCATCTACAGAGGATGTGCACCACTAAGACTTTTATCATTTATTAATCAATTAGTGTACATGCAGGCAGCAAAAGAGAATGAAGTTTCCTACCGGTGATCAGTGCTAAAAAACTCCTCAGGAACGTTGTAGCAAGTGGCCCAGCAGGAGACTTCTGTAATACCATACATGTTAAATATGTGAGTTTTGTTTCCTTTTCCTCTCCAGCTTCTCAGCACATCTAGTCCAGGGAAGGCTTCTCCACCAAGAGCCAAGATTCGCAGAGATGTATCTGCAGACAGCACAGTTGATTTAATATGCTGAACTCCAAATCTTCTCAGAAGGGTTGGTGTAGCCTGCATGTTGTAGCAAATAAGAGAAATATGGAGTCCAGTCTGTACCCTAAGTAGGGTCACACTTGGGAAAAGTTTCCTTGGTCAAAAAACTGTCAATCATATTTTATGGCTGCTCAAAATGATACACACCTAACTTTTTAAACAATATATTTGATAGTTTCAGGCACAGTCAGTCAGTGTGGCACAGTGGTTAAGAGTACTGGACAGGGACTCAGGTGATTTGGGTTCTAATCCCCACTCAGCCATCAAGTCCACAGGGTGACTTTGGGCCAGTTGTGGGCTCTCAGCCTAACGTACCTCACAGGGTTGTTGCTATGAGTATAAAATGGAGAGGAGGAGAACTTCTAAGCTGCCCTGGGTTCCTTGAAAAAGGATGAAAGGCAGATATAAATGCAATGCAATGTGATGATGATGACAATATAATCTCAGAAAGGAAAGTGTCAGCATCTACTTGATCAGCATGACATTCAAGTGTTGTGCAGAAGCAGCATTCAGAACAAACAGTGGTAAGCAGGTTGCTCACATTATCACTTTTCATCACTTACCTGTAACACTGATACCCTGTGGTGCTGAAAGAGAACCTTGGACAACTCCTGTGGCATCATTTTAATCATTTTAGGTACGATAAGAAGTGAAGCCCCAGTTGCCAAAGCAATGAAGAGCTCAACTACAGATGGGTCAAATGTCAAGGGAGAGGCCATGAACACTGTGTCATCTGGGGTGATTTTAAATATCTCTCTAAAGAAAAAGAAACATTACTTGAACCATTACATACATTTTGGAGTATGACACTGTAGCCATCTCAGAGAGAGCTCCTATATTTCCTGCATACTAGGCAAGTGCAGAATCATTCAAGCAAAAAAATGGCTATTGATTTCTATTCCTCGTGAGTGCAATGGAACATGCCTTGTGTTGTAATGATCTAGCTTCCCAACCTCAAGTGCCTCCATTGCAAACCTTAAATCATGCTACAAACTCATGTATTTTTCTCCTGTGTTTTTCCCTTTGAATTTTTCTGAGAACACTAAACATATGTGAGAACATACCTACTTTTGCTTATAATGTATCAAGCTTAGGCCCTATTTTTAAATCTCTACAAAAAACCGTAAAATTCCAAACTACTCCTAAAACTGTTCAATGGAACATCTGGCAGGACAATAAATGTTTCACTATTACACTGTTTGATCTAAAAACCAAATGAGACATGAAAATATTTTTGCCCAGTTTTCTTGTAATTGCGGAGGAGGCAGCGTATTGGGGCTGGCACTTGGGAGATCCAGGTTCCAGTCTCCTCTCAGCTTTGGAGCACACTGGGTGATTTTGGGCCAGTCGCTGATTCTGAGCCTAGCCTATCTCACAAAACTGATGTGGGGATAAAGTAGAGAGAAAAAGGACCATGCAAGCTGTGCACTGGGTTCACTACAAGAGCAAATGGGCAGGAAACATTTATTACCAACACAGGTAATGATAAAGTTCCAGCAAAATAGGTACTGGAAATTTGTTGAAATTTGGTGAAAAAGACAAATTCTGATAAACAAAGACTTCCATTAATAGGTCAGTTATTAGTTAACACAATAGCGACATGTGATAGTTATTTATCTCATAAACAAACAAATATTAACTTTTTGTACCCTTGCCAGTAATCAATATCAATCAATCACTTGATGAAATAGCTCAAAGCAAGAGAAATGGATTTCTCTATTCTTGTCACAGTTCTATGGTTATCTCTTGGCTTTTTGGCACATGACTTCATTGAAAAGTGCCACATGAGGGGTGATAGCAAGGAAACTTCTGCCTCCAGTGTTGAATCTTGATCAATCAGCTGATGAACATGGAGAACCAGCCCTAAAAGAGACCTAGCATACACTGCTTCTGCCGTCCTTTCCACCTCCTGTCAGCTAAAACAAGAAGTAAAACACAACTGCACCACAGAGTAGAACCAGATGTCTTCCTAAGAATTTCTCCACAATGTATTTATAAGACCACAATGTGATTTCTCTAACACAATTTTAAGCTGTGTGGGACTTGGAAAACAACAAGCAATGGATGCAGGGCACTCTGAGGAATTTCCACGCTCAAGGAAATTCCTGCTCAGTTTTTAAAATCAACTGTTAGTTGAAAGTAGCATGACACTTCAATGGCTTTACTGATGCAGGATTCAAATCTATATCCCAACAAATAAATACTTATGCTGACATATTTGTATATATGCACATCTATATAAACATTCCATGCTTTTCACACTTCACACTAATGGGATCATAATACTATAATTAGAGCACCAACCACCACCAAACTCATTTACAGTGCAATCCTATGCAAGGATATGTGGGGCAGGCTGGCAGTCCATCCTGTCTAAACTTGCACAAGATTGTGCCCTTAAAAAACAACAGTAACAACAGCCACAAGATGTTAAACGAGGTCAGGTGAGACAACTTGGTAGTATTTTAGGATATATAAATACACTGCATATTCATTGCAACCAACATTTGGAAGCCACTGAATGTTTTTGGGGTTCCAGAAATTCTTTGAAATGTTTGGATCCCATTTCTAAATCTTATTTTGGAATACATTAATCAATCATCAAACACATAGTATTATTGAAACATAGTATGTTTCATATTAATGTTAATATTATTGAATTTTATCTGGCCAGGGCAGCTTATTTTATATTGTATGTTTGTATTTTATTCTAATGTTTACATTTTTAATTTATGATTATAATTATTTAATTTATTGTTGTAAGCCTCCCTGAGGCTTTGGCGAATGGGGCGGCATAAAAATGTTTTAATAAATAAATAAATAAATAATAGTAATGCCATGAATTCATAACCATGCATTCTCAAAATCATAACATAAAATCAAATATAATTTGTCATTTTATTGAACTGTTAAATCTATTACTATCTAAATATAAGACCCAATTTGTACTGAGTGGGAGCTTTGAACAGATTCAGGCTTGCACTAATTAGAATAGCCCTTGCCTTGATACAGCAAAAACGTCAAGGAAGCACACCTAGATGTCAGAGCTAGACACTTTGCACCTGCCCCATCTGAGTGGAGGCATGCTTTGTACCTGCCCCCTTTCCCATTTCTGAGGACAGGCTGCCCCATAGTAGGGAGAAGAGAAAGAGGCAGGAGTATAATTGTGTCTTTTGGCCTACTAATCTGTGGTTTCCAACTGCATGGACTGCCTAGGGAAGCCTGCCCCTAGTGATTAAAGAGGTTACTGCAAGCTTTGACCACACTGACACATTAAAATTAATTAAAATTAATGAATGCATTTACAAACAAATGCATTATAAAACAAAATAACCCATAGGCATACATCCCCACAATAGCTTTGGTGTGCAAGCCAGGTTTCAAGAGTCTAAAATCTGCTGTCTTAGCAGTATGATGGATGGACAGACACACACATCATTTTCTATTACGACACAAATAGCAGGATCATGCATTTAATCACTGGGCATTTTACAACTTAAATCTGAGGAATTCACTTGATTTGACCTAAACAAGATTTTCATTCCTCTGTCCCCTTCATATTTATTTCTGGTTCATTTATGCTGTACAGCATATGACTATGGTTGGGATTTGTGCTGAATATTACATTTGTTACACCATCTGGTACTTTAAAAATAATACTGCTTCTAGCTAGTAATTCATGAATTTATTTGGAAAAATGTACTTACCGAAGATGAAGAATGTTTGGTACTATGCATTTATGGGGCACTCTGACAATCTTGGGGACTCCTGTTGTTCCAGATGTATGCAAAACATATGCTATAGAGTGTTTTTGTCTAACATCCAACAGTTCTTTCGATGGTTTTGTCTCATCTTTGTCCAAGATATGAGATTCCCAGCTGTTTGTCATTGCAAAGCTTTCATTTTTCTCATTCACATGTTGTAACAATGGATTTACATTTGTATTACTGTTGTTCTGCTGGAAAAGAATTAAACCAACTTTTTGCATTTCAAGGGAATTACAGCTGAACAAATATCCATGTGCTGCTGTAAATTTCTGAAAGATAGAACAAAAGGTTTTATTCTAATAACATGTTTATCTTTAATTTGCAGTGAAGTTCTATGACATACAAAATATTTAAACAATATGAAGAGATTTGGAATACATTTTATAATATTTAAAAATATAAAATATTTTAAAAATCTGAAGAGATTTGGGACAGCTAGTTAGATAAGATGTTTCAAAGACATGTGTCTTTGAAGTGATGAGATTTTTAAACCTTAGGTACAAACCAATCACTATTCCACAACAATTGATCAAGTTAGAACTAATGCTTGATTTTTATACATTTATAAATTGTACTATACATTTATAAATACATTTATAATATACATTTTATACCAAAATTTAAATAACTGTTGAGAGCTTTTCACTTACATCAACTTTGTCTTTTTCTACAAGGATGTATTGGAAGTTACATTTCTTCATGAAAAAAGCAGACAGGTTTGGTGGGACATCAGGATCAATAGGAGAATATGCAGCTGGTACCTGGAGAATTCTAACAAAACATACGCTTCATTTAGCAAATTATTCTCGGGAATCAAGTGCTGAAAAAATCAACATCTTCATATCAGGACTAGTCTCTGTGTTGAGGCATCTGCATTCATAAATCCCTAATATAATTATCTGATTCAGTCCCATCAAATTCTGATGAAACTGCAGGGTATAAAATCTCTATTTCCCTTAGGGTTGAAATGGATATAACAAAGGTGGGTAACACAAACTTTTTCTTCCTTGGGTATGTAAAGTGAAACAAGAAAGAAGGGATCGTTAGCCTATTGGTTCCTGACTCAAAACGACCCTTCTCTTTTTTCCCTTCTGCACAGTTCTGCAAACACACATTTGCAATCCTGCACAGGGAGGTTGAGGGGTGGAGCAGGAAGGGAGGTTTTGGAGAACAGAAGCAGCAGGCTGGTAAACAGTTGAGTTCTCCTGTTGTTATCATTTCACACCTTCTTAGTCTGACCTATTTCTGCTCTGTGTGGGGCCGGGGGAGAGGAAAGAATATACAGTAACTGTCAGGATTTCTTACATGCATTTGCTTCAAGTATTTACTTTGGCCATTAGGAATGGCTGCATGTGTTACATTTTCCCCAAACACAGAGATCATCTGTGTGGATAAGACAGCACATGTACATAGTTGTGTAGGATGTACCAGATGAAGCTGTTTCTAACTCTTGCGAGGCAAGGGAAATTACTGATCTAATCTGCTTAGAAATTTTGACAGGTCTTTTCTGCCAAGCAAACTGCAGATGGATTTTGCCAATTTCAATTATAAACATAAGGTTCTCTAAGGTTTCTGTCACTGACAAAAAAGGGAAGCTTTGCGTTTGATATTAATAAACATTCAAAAGATGCATGCATGGCAATAAACGGTATAAACTGCCCAGAGACATTCAGCTGTGGGGGCGGCATAGAAAATGATCTAATCAAGTGGAGCAGATTCATAAATACTGAAGGCATCATCATTCTGTTGCCATTATTTTGTAAGATGAGTATACAGACTGATGGGATTGCTTCCCTGGTAACAAGATATCCAGTAGCAATATAACCTGTTCTAACATTCCAGCAAAACTTTTTCTCAAAAGTAACATCTCTGGAAAGATTCTTCCTCCTTTTTTAAAATAGCTCAAGAGCCTCTTCTAGAAAAGTGAAGACTGACAATTGGACTATTTTCTGTTGCATCATTGGAGGTGAAGAGGAGCAGTAGATGCCCCTGTGAACAACTGGCAGCAAGGCTGAGAAAGCAGCAGCAGCGGTGAGAACCGTGATGAGAAATTAGACTCATATAGAGGGCCCACTCAGGTGCCATGCCCAATGCCATCAAAAGGCTACAGCCAGCACTGATATTAGCTTAAGCCTTTACGGTGAGCACTGCTACCTGGCAATGCATATGGTTGTCCACCTTGTCAATGTCACCACTGGCTGTTTCCATGGCACAGGGGCACGTGGGCTAGATTCAGTCCTCCCTTCTTACCATCACTTGGTCTGGTAATCTTTAGATTATTGCAACACGTTCTATGTAGTGTTGCCCTTGAAGGCACTTTAGAAGCTGCAGCCCATGCACAAAGTGGCAGCCAGATTAAGAACTGGGACCTATAGGTCTGAAGACATAAGACCAGTTCCTGCTTGTTTGCATTGGCTGCCTCTATGCTTCCAGGTTCAATCCAAGGTGCTGGTTTTAACATATAAAGCAGTACTTGACTTGGGACCACACTACCTTTCAGAGCACCTCTCCCAACCTACATCTAGTCAGATTTAGTCAGACTAGATTTAGTCAACTTCTAGAGCCTTCTTCTTGGTGCCAACTTGAATGGAGGCTCAGAGTGGCAACAAAGGGGAGAGCTTTCTTCGTGTTGGCCCCCCAGCTATGGCACAACCTTCTCACTGAGGCCTACCTGCTGTCAATCTTGTCATCTTTTTCTTTTGTGCCAGGTTAAGACAGCCACTTATGCAAAGGCTTTTGAAGATGTATTTGATTATCTAGGGTTATTCTTCACTAAGTTTTACCTGCTTTAATTTTTTAATGTTTCTTTGATAAGATGTTATGGTGTTTTACTGTTTTTTATGGGTTTCAGGGTATTTTTGACTTGTTTTTATATGCTGCTGTAAACAACTCAGGCAGCTTTAAAGAAATCTAATAATAATAATTAATAATTTAATTTAATAATTGCTGTTTTCTGTTCCCAGTAAGAACTGTGCGTTCACTACAAGGCTGGACATAGCTTGGTACTGTACATGATCTTAATCTGTTTAATGATATACATGTAGATATCCTCTTGAATGAACAAACTTCACCTTAGTTATACTGGGAAAAAATCTAAGTGCTTCTTGCACTAAAAATAAAAAGTTCTGCATAGCCATTCCTTAAGTGAGCTTCACTGAAGAATTAAAGTGCAAATGTACTATTGCATGATTAGCATTAGCAGTTATCTATTGCTTCAATTTTGCTTTTACAAGCGATCATGGCCTGCATACAAATGATTAGCACCTATACAACTATCTCCAAATGCATATGATCTTAGTCTGCATTTCATGAACAACACAAAATGGGGGCAACCTTATATGAAACTGAGAGGAATTAAAAAATAATGGGTGTATATTGTTCTAAAGGGGTTGGGGGGAGGTAAAATTTCTACTGGGCATGGAGAAGTGCAAAGGCATATTAAACTCCCTCTTCCAATCATATCCAAAATTACATTTCAAGTTAATAACTGTTTTAGGGAAACACAGGCTAAAATCCACACCCAGGACTTCCACTTACTCTCCTCCCCACAGAAGCCTCCAGAGCAGCTTCTAAATCTGCTTTAGACTTTGCTGTATCCTCTGGAGTATATTTCAGGGGCACATTCACCAGAAGCTTCTGTTCTGCTGGCAGGTGATTAGGCTTGGGTACAATTCATAGGTACCCAGTATGTTAAAGACAACCTGGATGTGGTTTACCAATGTGCTCATTCCACCACCTAGTGGCTGAACTTAAATTTTGGGAAGAATTGTTTCAGCTTTAAGAGGGACTCTGATACTCTGAAGTAGCAAATTCATCTGGAAACAACTTCCAACATTTAAAAAGAGTTATAAAGTTCAGCCATTCACTAAAGACACAGAGTATGTTCACATAACACAGTAAGCCACCTTCTGAATAAGTAATGAATAAGTTCAATTGGTGCAAAATAGAGCTGCCAGGTTGCTGACGGGGACGGGGCGTTATGCTCACATGACTCCAGTCCTCCGTCAGCTTCACTGGCTTCCCATTGAAGCCCCGGCCCAATTCAAGGTGTTGGTTATGACCTATAAAGCCCTAAACGGCTTGGGTCCTGGCTACGTGAACGAGCGCTTACGTCCGTATATGCCCGACCGCCCCTTGAGATCTGCGGGAGAGTCCCTTCTCCGGGAACCCTCCATGAAAGAAATTAGGAGAGTAAGTACTCGGAGGAGGGCTTTCTCTGCGGTGGCACCCAATCTATGGAATTCACTCCCCAAAGAGGTCCGCCTGGCACCGTCGTTACTGGTTTTTCGGCGCCAGGTAAAGACCTTTTTATTTAAACATCATTTTAATTGTTAAAATATATGATCTGGCCATGGCAACTTCTTCTTCCTTCTCTTTTCTCCTACTATATTCTTTATTTACTTATTTTATACTGTTAATTTTAATTTTATATTATTGTATCTCAGTGTATTTTTTGTATTTAGTGGTAATTTATTATGTTCTATTGTATTTCAATGTATCTTATTGTGTTGTAAGCCGCCCCCAGGCTTCGGCAAGGGGCGGCATAGAAATGTTATAATAATAATAATAATAATAATAATAATAATAATAATAATAAGCAACCATGGGTTGCTTGCTGGCTGAACAAGCCACAGTACTCTCAACAGGCTTGCCATGGCTCTTCCCCCTCAGTCCTCTGGCCAGTTCCAGCATGTATTGCCAACGCTTTTGCAGCATACACCAATCTTGCCCACTTATCCTGGTCCCTTCCCTCTCCAATCGCTACCACTTTTCAGAGCACTTACTTTGCTCCAGATCTTTAAAAAAATGGATATGCAAATAGGGTCATAGGCCTATTCCCCTTATTTTGCAAGTGAGCAAGAATGTAAATTTGATTGCCCAGTACGTGTAATCTTGCTTGCTCACTCTATTTCCCTGTATCTTCCGTATGTCCGGCATCAAAAATGGGAAACTGAGAAAGTATTAAGTGTACCAATATTTGTTGAGAGGACAAAATATTATTCACTTGGAGGTGTGATCCTTTAGCTATTAAGAATTGAATGGACACATATCAGTGTCTTCTCTGTTTTCAGCACTAACCCAAGTCTTCAGCAAGTGGAGACAAGATCTAGTGGCTTCTTTTTGAAGCAGTAACTGAAGCTGCACAAATTTCCTATTTACTACCAACCTCTAAATTTGTGCAAATTTTGCCTCCAGTTACTTTCAAATTCAGATATATATTCAGCATTTAAAAAAAAAACATTTGAGGATGGCAGAATGGGACACATCAAATGAAGCCTCTACACCATCAGTAATTACACATGTTCTTCCCTGATGAGGAACCATCATGTGTTCATCATACGCACATGTCCTCTAAAATTTCTTTTTAAAACTGGTGGGAAAATTTGCACAAATTTAGGGCGGTAAACAGAGGGGAAATTTGTGCAATGGAAATAGCTACTCCAAAAAAGAGCCATGATAAGAGGGGCAAGTCAGCTTTCTAGACTTGCTAAAGTCTTGAGGAAGTGTTGTACAGGAAGACATTTAAAAGTCTTAGTTCAACAATTAATAGTCAGAAGATCTCATTATCAAATAGGAGATAAGCGTCTCTCAGTTTTAGGGCACCCATTTCTCTGTTTCCTTGGTGCTTGTTGACAGCTGAAACATACAAGGAAATTGTCTAGATAAGATTACACCCAAATCTGCACTCACGGGAAGCACTTGGGGAAGGGGTGGTATAAGGAAAAAACACCCCAGTTGTGTACTGTCAAAGATTGCATGCATAAACACAGACAACAGAGGTGGAAAAGAGTGTTGGTATCCGCAAACTGCCATTTCAGCATCAGTGGAGGAGTCAACATTGGTGAGGGAGGCTGGAAGTGGCAGGCATTTCTGCCACTCTGGCTGGACAATTCTCTAGTTGTTCCTGGCAACCCAGGATAAAATCGCCATGCCTGATTCAGAAAACATGCCAAGCAATCACAGGTATCAACAACCCGAAAACAAGCCACCTGTCCTCAGAGTGCTTTGTCAATGAAAAATAAGCCATCCTGTAGAAACTATACTGGGTTCAGATGACATAACAAGTAGCCACGGCTGGCTACGCACACTGAATAGTTGTGACATGAGAACTAGGTAACTTAGCCAAATGCCTACAACTTATGTTGACTGTAGCTTAATGAGGGGACTGTAATGTGCACAATCTTCACAGTAACAACTTTATAGAAAAGTGAGGTCATAGCAATACCCTATAATCCAAGAAGGCAGATTTATCCCTGTGTGGCAGTAGAGGCCTATTTCGACATTTTCAGAGAGATGACAATGTTCCCTCAGGAAATCTGTAAGTTCTGTGGCTAGATTGATAACTGTCTTGTACGTGTAGACAACTGGAGTCTGATTGTTGCATTCGTCAAAGCACACTGCTCTTCTCTCAGCATATAGCCTGGCTGCAGTTTGAACCATTTCCTGAAGAGTCATCGCCAATATTTATACTGCATACCTAAAATGAAGGGAAATAGGAATCAAAATTCATCCATGTTTAAAATATGTATTTTGAAAAACAATCTAAGTCCAGGTAAAAGACTTGAAGACATGCCCCTATGGCACACTATCCATTTACTATCCTGATGATTAAACTGAGATTACTTCCAAAATTTCCCAGCATTATATAAATATAATAAAATGCTTCAAATATAGCACACTTGTGTTAAGAAATTCTTGAGTAGGTAAAAAGATGAGGCATGTATCATAATTTTAACCGCACATGAGCGGTATTAGCATTTTCACATACCTATATAACGAATGTTGCTCTCAGCATTCAGCATACTTTTAAGGATACCCTAAAGTATCATCATTCATTTTTTTATGCTGCAGTTAATACTAAGTCCATTGAATCAAAAACTATGAGACCTAAGAAACAAAGAGATTAAATACAATAAAGTTTATATTTGTGCAATTCATATACTATAGAACATCTCTAGATGGCACATCCATATATGGTTTTGTACTAATTTGGTCAGGTAAAACTGAATGAAGCTTAGGGAGGGCTCATATGGCCTTCTACGAGAGCACTCAAAGAGCCATAGGATTCTTCATAACCTCAGAGGCAAGGCTGGGGAGAGAGGTCTGACCTCGAAGTTCCTTTGCCTGATTGCCTCTCCACCGCCATCCCCAGCAAACTGGTGCAGAAAAAACAAGCCAGAATCTTGACTTGGGAGAGGTAGGAAAGGGGGCATTCTAGTGCATGAATAAGAGACTATGGAGGTTGTACCTGTGTCTTCTGTAAGCATCTTCCCTCTGCTCCTGAGGCATTATTCTAAATGGCTGAGAGCAGAAATTCAGAGCCAAGGGAACAAGGAAGTGAATCACCTTTACTGCTTCTCTGGTTCTGTGTTCACCTCTGAGGGTGACAATCAATTCAACAGGGGTATGCTCTTAACTTGTGAAGTTCAAAGCACAGTATCACTGCACTCAGTGGAATTTATTTTCATTTAAACAAGCTACACACTAGCTTGGGCTTGACATTATCTGAATGGGAACAGTACCCAGGTTTGAGCACTTACTCAAATAAACACATATAGATATTAGTAACTAAAAACTCAAAATGACTGTCTACACCTGGATATTTCCCATATTTAGATGGCATCCCCCAACATTTCTGGGCATGTCCCACTAAATTGAGAGGAATTACTTCTGAGTAACTGTGCATAAGATTACACCATCAGTATTATAGTAGCTGATAAGAACATTAACAAATAATTACTATTAAAAGCTTCATCTACATTCTGCTTTTTAACTTTGTATACAGTCTTTTAATCTTGCTCAGGTTTGGCAGCAACTTGGAATCAGCACACTGATTCTGAAACCTCATTTATCATCAGAGTTATCATGAAAGATGTCAAGCAGTTAACATTGTTCCTTAACTAGAATATGACCTAGGAAAAAAAGGACAGCTTTTCCATGGCATAAAAGCTAAATGTGACGTATCCGATTCTGTACTCAGCTGTGACAGTATCAAATACTGCAGTAATGCTCAAGATGGGGCAAGATCGACATGACAATGAAGTCAGTGTATAGCAATGCTCCCTTTTCCTTTTTTAGGCCCAGGACCCCAATCGAGATACTAAAAAGCTGCCTGCTCCCCTTACTGCTCACGTTAAGAATTAGACTATACATCTATTGTAGAGTAAGAAAGAATAATGATATAACTGCCATCCATTCAAGGTGCAATCCTATGCATGCTTAGAAAGCAAAACAAGTCCTACAATTCCCAGCATTCCTGGGAATTCTTAGCCGGCTTCGGCTATGGAATGCTGGGAGTTGTAGAAGTTTTTGTGCTGCCCAAAACACCTAAGATTTTTTATTTTGATCCGCACATTCAAAACACCCTGGGTGGCTTTCAGGGCCTATCCAGGGTACAGACAGGCCTTAACCAAGCAGGCTCAGCCGGCTGTAGTTTTTCTGAGCGGGTTGGTTCGCCCGTGCTTCTTCACCCGGAGTGTGCTGGAGATTTTCCCTTGCTTCAAATAAAAGCGCCTCAGAAGCGTAACTTACAGGCCGGCTTTTCAGCCGCAGCGTCCCAGGGTGCTGCGCTTCCCTGAAGGAACCGGCTAGGAAAGCGCCGCCCCGGCGGCTCTTCGTTACGCCGAAGTCGCTTTTTGCTTTAAGGACTGGAGAGGCAGAAACAAACCTTGGCCTCCTCATAAGCAAGCAAATCGGCTGCCGCTTCCCCTCCGGTCAATCTGATAAATTTCTACCTACGACGGAAGGAAGGCCGATTCCCGGTAGAGAATGAGAAAGAGGCAGGCGGCGTGAGGAGTCGGGCAGGCGCAAACGCGCGGAGGGCACACGTGATCGGGCGCAAATGCACAAAAAAGGGCTGGCGCGGGGTTTTTGTTGTCAGTCTGGCTAACCAGTGGCTTGAGGGAGGTGGAGCAAGGGGCGAGCTCTGCTCCAAAGGACGCCGAGGAGTGGCAAGCGGCACCGCCTTCTTGCTGTTAGCGTCGGGTTCTGCAAGGGACGCGGTTGCAGTTCTTGGGCAGGCGACTTTTAGTCTCTCACGTTTTGTAGTGATCGTCTGGAATATTTGTTTCCCAGTTAGGTTTCTGAATAAAACCTAGTTCTCAGTACCTGCATGCTGTGCTGCACCGTCCGAGGCCACTAGCAGAGTGGCAGTAATTAGAAAAATTAATCAAAACTACTGACAGTGACTTAATAGTGCAAATCCTGCACAGCTAAACGTCCCAGGGATCGAGAGGAACGCTTTAAGTGCAGTTGGTAAGATCGATGCTGCTGGCTGGAATGCTCAATTTTCTGTAGAATTTTCTGCTGCCCTCGCAGAATATACATAAAGACACCTGAGAACCTTGTCAGTGGTCTTGATAACTGAAAGATTGCTCTAAAAAGCAAAAGGTTCTCTGAGCATTGTAGCAATGCGTCCATAAGAAGAGACGAAACTGGTTGGTGATGGAAGAAGACATTCATCCCTTTCTGTTGGATAAAGATCTAAAAAAAAAAAAAAAATAGATCACTGAAACGGTGGCATATATAAATTTCCTGGCGTGCTCGCTCGCTCTTGCGCTCACGCTCGCTCGCTCTCTCGCTCTCTCTCTCTCTCTCTATATATATGGCTGTGCAGAGCTTGCTTCCATGTCAAATCTGATAAAGCTGATGAAGTAATCTAGCTTGCCACTCTTCATCAACTTTTATCCAAAGCATGTTTTTGCTCTTCCATCCTTATATATATTCTTCTCTTGGAAACATGAAGGCACTTCTTAATCTTTCCTGATATTAACAATCTTTCTAAAGAAACTTATATTTCATATATCAAACATAAGTTGCAAAGAAAGTAAAATATTTGTAAAATATTAGACATGGATGGATGCCGTCTTGAGTCCACATTGGAACACGGAATTCAGGAAGAGGAGGACTTGTATTTGGCAGCCAAAAGAGTTGAATCCATGCTGGGCAGCAACGTTGGAGAATACTTTCCACTTAGTGTGGTAGGATTACCTCATGGTGGGCTTCAGGGCTGCCTCCAGGATAGGGTGGGCATCCTCTGAGAAGTCGACTATGTTTAGGGGTAGGACTTGATCTGTCAGGCTGTGAGGTGGAGCATGTGGACTTCCAGATGGAGGATGATCTATGTCAGGTTGAAGTGGGAGGTGAAGAAAGGTTCATCTGGACATACGCAGCAGGTGGGGAAACCAGAACTGTCTGGGCAAGCACAGGTTGATAAGGATACATTGCTGAGGAATCTTTGCTAGGGCCTTTGTGAATGGGGGAGTTGGGGGGAGAGATAGCACAGTGTCCCTGGCCAGCTTCATAGGAAGGTGTTCTCCCACAGAGTTTGAGTCTGTCTGTGAATACCCAGGAGGCCATGGAGAGGCCAACGGGGAAGTGTCATCTGCAACCCAAAGCAGAGGGAGTGCTTGTAGGGATCCTTGATGGAGATGTGGATATAAGCCACATCTATTGACATGAACCAGTCTCTCTCACATACCAAAGGAAGAATATTCTGTAGTGTGACCATGCAAATGATTTTAGGTGCAATAAATGATTGACACCCCAGAGCTCAGTATTTGGTTTAACCCACTGTTGCTCTTTAGTACAATAGAATACTGAATAGAATACTTTCTAGGGTAGTGAATTGAATTCCTCCATGAGGACCCCAAGAGGTGCTGTGTATTTCAAGGTGCCAAGAAGTGGGAGGGCCTCAAATTCTATCCCATAGCCATGCTCAGTGATGAATAGGACCCACAAGTCTGAGATTATCTCACTCCATCAATGGAGGCAGGCAGTGGAAGGTGGAGTGGTGAGCGACTGAGGTGCTGCTTAGTCATTGGCACCTGGTGCAAATGTGGGGGTATTATTCCCTCACCTGAATTGGGAGATGGGCATGTACCTCTGGCCTGAAGGGGTTTGCAGCCTCAGGTGGTATGGGAGGGGTGGATAGCTGGAGTGGTGCCATTTATGCACAGCTGAGTAGGGTCTCAGAGGTGTTTGGTGTAGTCCCATCTTGCATGGGACTGCCCTTTCCTTCTATATCAAGCCCATCTACTTGTTGGTACAGGTGTTGAGGAAGTTATCTTATGGCAGATCCTCAAGGGAGGCATGTACCTTGTGAGATAGTCCTGACAACTGCAGCCATGCATGCCAGCTGAGGCCTATCACCCCCATGTTCCTTGTGACACATTTGGCCTGGTGTCTGGCTGCGTGTATCTCCTGACAGGGAAGTTCGGATGTTTCAAACTGGATGATCTTCACCAGCTCCATGCACTTGCGGGGCAGGTTGTTGCATAAGGTACTGATCTTGACCCACAGGAGAAGATGGCAGTAGGCCATGGTGGCCTGATAGTTAGCAATCTTGAGTATGACACAACCAACGAATAATAGCGCCTCCCTAACATGTCTAAACAACAGCCCTTTCTCCGTTGGTGTGGATTGCTCTCTACAGGACCAACCTTGGGCTGACTTCCATGGTGATGGAGTTGCGTTGGGGGTGTTGGAACAGGAAGGGAACATCTTGATCCTGGAACCTGTATATCTCATCTTCTCAGCATCTGCACCACAGAGAGGAGGGATTCCATGCCTGATTTATCATGTCTGGGGCTGTAGTCTCTGTGCATACAGCTTCAAAGACCAGGTCTTCTTCTCATGGGTCATGATAAGCAGTTATGCTGCAGCAGGACTTAGGGAGGGGTTCCCACTGAACAAATCCTGAAACAGGCTCCGTGCAGGTGCAGTGCCCTTATGTGAAATCCACAGAGACCACAAAGAAATCCTTTTTCCAGGCTATTGGAATTGCACAAAATGGCTTCCCATCTTTAATGCAACCTTAAATAAATTTCTAGAGTTTGGGCTCATTTTCCAAAATAAGGGCTGGTCCCAATTTTTCTCCTTAATAACACAGAAGCCCTTTTTTATTTATGTATGCATTTGTATTCTCTTTGATTTTGGATCAAGAAGGAAATGATCTCCTTCGTTCAAGTATTTTCAGCTTGCTTCTTCCCATCTCCTTTTTTTTTTAACATTCTGAGACAAAGCTAAGCAAATGAACGACTACATCTGCCACTCCTAACAGCCATAAGTTGTCTTCTATTACCCAAGCATTTCACATATTGTTAACGATTCATGACAGGAGAAGCTGCCAAGTCTCTTCCAATCTGATTCAGGCAGACTCCATTTGCCTATTCCTTTTATGATCCTTAACCTGTGAGTTAATTCTTCTAAAATTTTGCTTACTGTGCTTACCTGCTAATCTTGAAAAACAGCTTAGTGGTTCCTGCATTACAGATGAGCATTTTGAAGTTAAGAGATAGATACTTGCCCAAGGAATCCAAGGATGAGATAAGATTTAAGTATTCCAGAAACTGTGATATTTCAACCTGAGTTTCAGGTATCATCTTTCCCTATACCATGTTTTTCAAGTTTGGTGAATTAAGCAAGATTCTTATACTTGAAGGATAAGGATTGATCAGATCAGAAATAAGCACAAAGGAACCATGGTTCTGTGATAGATACAGATCTTGCATTCAGAACATGTTAGATTCAATCTCTGGCATTTCCAATTTAAATTAAATTAACATAGGTAAGGTGACACATGTCTTTCCTATGACCCTTGAGAGGAATTTACTAGTCAGAGCAGACAAACTACTACATTGCAAATCATTCATATCTTTCCTTAATTCTATAATATGTAGTTGCTTTTTGAATCAAGGTTCTTTACTACCAGTTGAATGTTTATTGCTAAAGCAAAATCTGGCAAAATAAAGTGTTATTTGTTGCTTTTTCTCCCTTCAGATTACATGTAGATACATATCCTTCCAGTGCCTTCTTCAAAAATGCAAAGAAGTGATCACATTCTATCAGAAGTCATGTAATTCAATGCAAATTAAAATTTTAGAAGGGCAAGGTGACCAAATTTGTGTGCATCTCTGCTTGTCTTTCCCCAAAACTAGCAAAGCAGAGCAAGCAATTATGGTAGGCCTATTACAGATTGCTAAATATTTTCCCTGGTTTTGTTTGTTTAGGGCACTTTTACGTTTTCTAAGTTTTTATAGTCAAATAGTAGGTATATGAGGCAGAAAAGATAATCTGGATAAGCAAAATATATGGTGCTAATAGATATTTTGGATATGAATGTAAGTGTGTATTTGTTCTGCCAAAAAAATGTAATTAAATCTAACAATGCATCTATACTGGCCATTTTTCAGGATTTAGGGTGATTTTACCCATGAGGCTTATACTTGGTTTTAGAAAGAACTTTAAAACAAAAACCTTGAATTGCTGGTTTAGTGCAATGGACAGTGTCAGACATGGGCTGGGAACATTTGGGTTCAAATCCCTGTATGATCAGGAGTTTACCGTATGACCCTTGGCCTACTGCTTCAATCTAATCTATTGTACACAGTTCATGGGACATTGATTTTTTAATTGCATAAACTAAGCCTCATATTTTTAGAGGAAAAGGAGAGGGAAGAAACACACTAATATTTACACTGAAAAGCAAACTGAATTGCTTAAAATGAACTATTTCAGCACATGTTGAAAGTCCATAAAAATCAAGATAGTTTCACTCCCTAAGTCAGGTTCAATACAATATCATCAGTAATATAGAAGAGACTGTTAACATAGTGCATATGATTTATGTTCCAACTTCGTATTATAAAAGAAGAGTCAAGTGATTATGGGCTTCTGTACATGAGGGATTAAATCTGTTGCTGTACAGATAATTCTTCCACTGTTGTTGTGGAGGAAAAAGGTATCCTTTACAACCAGACTTTTTCACGGTTTTGTATTTCTCTACTTTTCCATGTATTCTATCAACCAACCACAAGGTAGCTCTGTAGAATAACCAAATATAAAAGATCTTTGTCTTTTCTGTTATGTTCTTGTTGGTCACAACTTAAAACTTAATACCAGACTTTTCTTGCTCTAACTTGCCCCCGCCCCAAAAATAGCTGCAAAAAGGGTAGAAAATCAGGAGAAGCCTTCAAGGACAACAACGTCATGAAAAAGCCCCACAATCTTCAGTAAGAGATTATGAGCACACAATAAATATCTCCCATACAGAAGCCCTTAGACAAAATACTTCATTATGTATTTTAAGATTCCATGCTATATGAGTTAGTCTACAATTCTTGTTCATGTCTTTGTAAGATTAAAAAAATGATTCTGTACACTTGCACTAGAAGCCCTTTGCTGGAAATGCACACACATCATAGAAACTGTACACAATAAATTAACACAGTCTACACAGTATACGGAATGGAAATACACATACATTGTGAATCATAAAGGATGCTTGCTTAGAAATGATAAGCAGTTGTCTTAGGGAATTTGTTTTATTCATTTATTTTGAAGGCTATGTCCAATTCTGCTAGGCAGTCTTCCTAGTGCTCCTCATTCTATGGAAGCCACTTGCAACCTTTAAGTAGCTTTGTCAGTCAAGTAGCTTTGTTTTTAAAAGTAGTAGAATCCAGCACTTAAGAAAGTGAGATAAAAGGTCTTCTTAGCTTTATAGTTTATTTTTTTCCTGGCTATTCACATCTTCTGTTTAGTATTTCCCACCTTCATGAGTGTTTGCAATGGCTCTGCAAGTACGCATATTTACCATATTTGGGAAACAGAACTATTTGAATAACTCTCAAATTGACTCAATGTGTAAATAAGGTACCTCCGACCCTGTTGCATGCTCTATTTGCCCTGCCCTTTGGATAGAAGGAAGTGAAGGACTATAAAACCCATCTGTGTGAAGAAAACAAAGAGGAGAAGATAAGGTTTAATGTGCTCCAGAGAGTCTAAAGAGCAGTGAGTTCTCCATCATGCCACTGCTGCACAGGTCCTGAGGAACTGAACAGAAATGGAGGAGCCATTTCTCCTGAGCATTGAGGGTGCCTTGAGCTTCCTGCCAAAATATGTGTCTAGCTCGTGATAATTCCAACCGTTGCTCTGGGCAGGCACATGCAGGACACATGGTGATATGTGGGATTGTCCAGAGACCACAAAGGAACAGTGATTTTTGTAAAGAGTTAGAATTATTTGCAATTCTAATTCAAATCAGCTTTGCCTCTTATGTCCCCTAAGGAATTATTGAAACTTTCCATTTATAGACACAAAAAGCACAAGTTTTTTTTTAAATACTGAGCAAAGATGTAATATATATTAAATTAAGGAGCATTATTATGTGTTAAAATACTCCATTTAAAAGTTTGCATGCTAATTTTTCATTGCTGGAGTCTTCTTTGAAGGCCTACATGTAGTTAAAACATTCACTCAAACTACAAGGTAAGTAAGCATTCAAGATGAAAGAACATGTTAGAGAAAATTAGCGCTGAACATCTGGTGTTCAAGATGGTTATCAATCTAATTCTCCCTGTCACATTCCTTTGACACACAGTGAAAACACTTTAATACAGCATATTTGAAATCATTAAGGCTCAAGGTATTAGACAGTTTTGGCATAGTATTTCCCTGAGTCTCCCAGTCTCAGCAACATACTATAGAAAATGATATTCAGTCTCTTTGGAAGCAAGCTATAATGGATGATTTAGTTACATAAGCAGGAATGCGAACATTTCATTTTTCAAAAAGAGAACTGAAAAACAGATGGAAATAGGTGCAAATACAGTTATTAAACTTAAAAATTTGTCATTTTTATAAAACCAAATTTCACATTTTCCTTTGACTGAATACTGCTTAAATTTGGGATGGCTTAATGGCTCATAGCCTGTCTGAAAATCATTTGTAAAAAAAAAAAAAAAAAGGACAACACTACCCCCACCCACATTAATGCATAAAAATCAAAGAACAGTTCCAAATTTCTCAGCAAGAGTAGGCCAGCTAAGGAATTAAAAGACTTTGGTAAACCTTTGTTCACCCAAAGTTCCAGAACTAATGTTTATCACATGATTTTTATATTTTATTTCTTTATGTTCTTTACCATCCCTAATAAGGTTTTAACTAAAACGAGAGCAGCTTGATCAAGAGTATTGCTATCAAGCAAGTCATCAGTTCCATACTTTAATTCATTGGTGTTTGCATTCTGAAAATTCACCATTGTAGCTCTACGGGGTATTCTCCAACAAGACAAGCTATGCAGTGGCCTATTTTCCCAACCCGGAACTTGTTGGTCTTTAGGCTGTTTTCATTATCATGTCTTGCTTTAATGCTCTCTTGGACAGATGATACCAGTCCTTCTACTGAAAGATAGACAACACTGTCAGCCCCTAAAGTAAAGAGAAAAATGATGAACAATTGAAAGTGCAGTATAATCATCTTCAAAAAATCAACCAGTTGAACCAAAAAATTCTGAAACTTCAGGTTCCCAAATGTGGGAATCAACATATAAGAGTAGGTTGTGCTAACTGCAGTGTTGGATGTACTGACATGAAGCAGTAATGGTTTTTATTATTTTTATGTATTTATTTCTAGATTTATATCCTGCCTTTTTTAAAGAACTCAAAGTAGCTTCCATCATTCTCCTCTTCCTCTTGCTCTCAATCTCATCCCCACAACAACAATCCTGTGAGGTAGGTTGGGCTGGGAGTCTGTGACTGGTTACCCAGTTGGCTCCATGGCTGAGCGGGGACTAGAATCTAGATCACCTGAGTTATAGTCCTGCACTCTTAACCACAGTGCCTTAATTAAATTCTTTCCTAAAATACCTTATAATTTATTTCTGTGATTAAGTAATACCCTGCCTTTGTATAAAAAAGGCACTCACCATAGCACAAGACTTGATAAAAAACCATTCTCACCATTTTCCAAAGGAAAGGCTTGTGATAGAAAGCTGTTGCCAGTAGAGACTGACAATGTGGGTAAAACAAATGTTTCTACTATCATAAACCCTGAATTGATAATCCTGATCATTACTAAATTTGGGCTGTGGGCCTGCTAAACTCTTGCTACTAGAAATGTTTTAACTAGAAATTCTGGAAGTAAACATGAAGGCTCCTGAATGCAAGATATGTGCATTTCCTCTAAGGAAATACAAATTCAAAAGGTAAATTATGTTGTCCTATTATTTAAATACATCAAATCATAAAAAATCACAACTATGGTGATAATCCGAATATAGAATACTTAAAGCAATGCATACAGTGGAAGAAAAACTTGGGAAAGAAACACATACACCCCTCAAGCAGCACCAGCCCTTTCTTTTTCCCTGAAGATTTTCCCCATCCAGGATTGCTCCAAAAAGTATTACAGTACTGTTATGTATACATGTTTATTCCGAAAGCAAGTCTCAATGAATTCAGTGGGGCTTGCTCCTGTCCCAGGCCAGTGGATATAGCCTTGCAGCTCTAGCCTTAAAGAACTACCACAGAAATGCTGATAAGCAATTGATAGTTTTCTGGTGCATTGATGAAAAGATAAAGTAAGATGTAGTAGTAGCTTATGTAATTTTGAAAATTGTCAACTTACACTGAATGCCTTTCTATTATCACCTATACAACCAATTTTATTATCATAATTGTTTTGCGTTTACTGAATAATCACTGTTTCCCATTGTGTTTCTCTCTGACATCAGCTCATGCCCAGAAGTCTTAGCACAAGCATGTGTTTATGTACACCTGCCAATTTCATGCAAACAATGGTGTGAACTCTGATTACCATCAGAGAAATGTTATCCTTTGAGGTGCTGCAAAACTCTGCTGTTTTTGCTATCACACAGTAAGATGGCTACCCCTCTGGAAATATTTCTGTGTATACCTTTACTGAAAAGGATTTAAAAACCAAAATATTCACCTATATAGTTGGCTAGGTCATGAAATTCAGGCTTGTTGGCAATGAGTTCTTCTTTTGTTGGAATGTTTATTCCCATGTAACAAGGAAATCGTATTGGAGGTGAAGCCACACGAATGTGTACCTGAAAACAATCAATATGATATTGCAACACTGATACTGTTGTATTGATTCAACACCAATGGAAAAGAAGAATGTACAGGGAAAAGATGTAGTCAATTGTTTAGCAGTAGAATCAAATAAATTAGGGTTGGCTACAAAGAGAGCAGTGCAGGATGGATACCTAGATATGTAAACAGAAGAGCCAGAGAATGTTATACTCTTTTTGCTTCTCTTCCCCTCCACCTTATGAAACTTGAGAAACTGCTATAAAGGGTTTCAGGGGCTGCTTAGGAACTGACCATAATATTTACTTACCTCTTTAGCACCTGATTCTCTCAGTAGTTTAATTATGGGTGAAATAGTGTTGCCTCGCACAATAGAATCATCAATAAGAACAACACGCTTCCCTTTGAAGTTGTCTGATAAAACTCCAAATTTTTTGGCCACTCCAAGCTGTCTTAACCTCATGTTTGGCTGAATGAATGTTCTTCCTACATATCTGTTTTTGCACAATACTTCAATGTATGGTAATCCACACTGTAAACAAGAGGAAATCAAAGCTAAAGTACAATATTTTGTATTTGTCAAGTGGTTAAGATGAATTTTGCATTCCATACAGATGAGTTTGCACCAATATTCCTGAATCTAATATACATACGTAGAAGAATAAACTAAGTGGGAACAGTTGCAGTTACAAAAGCCCCTTCCTAATCTTGTTAACGTAATACAAAATTCAATAATTTCCTAGCATATTTAGAGTTGTACCTAAATATTTCCATTTACAAATAATCCTACAGTTAAACTTCCCTTGTTTCACTTTAGGGTATGAAGCACCAAGAAATTATTCACATGTTAATATACAGTAATATATATGCAAGTTACATTGAAAGTTTGTCCATGCCCATGACCAAATAACATGTTGCCTCATAGCTTATGGATTTAGCCACCGAAACATATGTGATAATTTGGAGAACTGTCAATTACATAAATTACTGTAGTGGATGCTCTTGAGTTTCAGGCCTGACAATTTCACATTGTTTCTGGGATAGCATAACTGCGAATGAAGAAACGGTCTAAGAAAATGTGGACTTCAAAAACTTTATTCCAATTTAAATAAATCAGAAGCAACACCTACAAATATGTGCAGTGTTTACACTCATGGTTCAAGGATTTGGGATGTGCCACCTGTTGGGACAAGGCATTCATTCTCCTTGGTGTTTTGTTTGAAAGATTGTGCAAAGTTTGTGTTGTAATTTACACAGGTATTTTAGGAGATGCCAACCGCTTCATCTTGTTAATGAATATTTTCTGCATATGCATACATATCTGCTCTGGAAGTAGCGATCTTTATGGGAGGACCAAAAGGGAAAGTTCTGCAAAGACTCCTCTTCTGATCATGAGACTGGCGTTTAATGGAAGTAAAAACCTTTACCGGTTTGTATTTTAGTTGTTTTTATGAACTGCCTTGAACTGCATGAAGGAGAAGGCAATATTTTAAATGAAGTAAATAGTATCTTTTGTCCACAAAAGACCTAAATATTTACTTTACAATTGTTTCCATTCTTGGGCACTGTACAGATTAGAAACAATGACAATTAAACAATTCAGATAAAAGCAGCAGCAGAATGTAATAAAATCAAGACTAAAACTAGTAACAGTAGCAAACAGTGCAAAGATTTTTTAAAAAAATCTTGCCATAGCATGGTAAGATGACAATGGAGGCTGAGAGACTGGGTTGCCAGCACTGTAAAGGCCCTCTCACCTGCATCTACTTGCTTTCCTTCATTTGGTAGGGCCACTTGGGAGAAAAGCCTCAGAATGAAGGACTTTGGGGTTCAGGTAAGTAATATTCTTGGCTTGTTATTATAAAATGTCTATTTCAATAGGTGATTTTCTTGTAATAAAAAATCCAGATAATTCAGGGTAAAGGGAAGAGACATAGTACCTTTTGTGCATAACCGAGGGCTGCAGGTGTCGCAGATTCTGGGACTGTGCTAACCAAATCCGCTTCTACAGGAGCTTCAATAGCAAGCTGTTGCCCACATCTTCTCCTAACAGAATACACCATTTGACCTTTGAAGAATGATAAAAGCTTATTTTTGTATCTGTATAACTTTAATCTAGGCATCTGTGATTTCCCTCTCCTGCTTTTAAAATCTCATGGTATATTTGCAGACAGGTTATAGTTACAATACCAGCATATTCAGCAAACTAATCTGTCAGTAAAGGTTATTTTTAACTGAATGTTATTATTACAACTTACATCTTTAAAATATTTACACCCATGTCAATACAGTTCCAGTTCAAATAAGGTGCTATGGGGTACAAAATTGTTAAATCATTCTTATATGGAAGATGACTCCTCCTTCCATTCTGGAAGCATAATCTATTTGGCTGTTATAGCTCATACATAACTTGCAATTTACGGTAGGTTGCAAACTGCAGCAATTCAATTCAATAAAATACCTTTACTTTTGATATCAAGGACTATTTCTTATTAGCTGCTATTACCACTAGAGGGCATTACAGTTCACTTTTTGGACAAGTTCAATAAATTCAAGCTGCATAAGAACTTCTTAAGGCATTAGATATACTTGTCTATCCCAGACAGCCATGGACATATGTTTTCATATTTGTACAGAACATATGTTTTGCAAAATAGTAGAGAAAAGAAGCAGCAGCCAGTGTAGAAACACTTGGGGCTTATCAATCTAAAAGAATGCTTGACAGAGAAAATGTGGTAGCTTGCCTTCAAAGATGCTGTCGGGCCTTGCAAAATATACATATTCAAAAATACAGAACGCTGATGGATCTCCTTCGGGTCTTGGTACAACATCCAGTGTTTGGAGTTCATTTCTAGATATCTTCACAATCTCTCCAGGCATAACTTCACGGTAATATCTTGAAAACAGGGTTGCCTAAGTTAAAACCCTTCATTGATTTTTAGAAAATGTGAAATTGTAAGAGAAATGAATCATTATGAGATGTGGTGCTGTTGAACGGGAAAAACTCAACAGCATGGAGCCCTTATAACTGCTAGCACAATTTCACAGGACTGTGGATCATGTACAGAATGTGGTACTTGGCACAACATTCAGCTTCCATTCTTTCCATGCTGATTTATCCCCTCTTCATGCTGATTTATGGTCCCACATTTTCAAGCTCAGGATAAAAGCCTGAAAACGTGGGAAGGCCCAGTCCAGACCCAGCCCAGAAGCAGCAGGATGATCTGAGGTGAAGCACCCCTTTACAAGCTTACCTGGGCATAAGCACCACTGAACAAAGTGAGACTTCCTTCTGAATAGGCATGGATAGTAATGTGCCATTTCTTCCCAAATTACAAAGATGTCGATGCAAATCTAAAAGCGTTTTAATTCCCCCTTTTCATGGTAAATGGCTTACCATGCAGTTTATTAGTAAAAAATGGCTGACATTTCATTTCTTCCCAAATTTTAGAGACTTGCGTTTTGAGAGCATGTAGTGTAGGGGGAGGGAGAAAGAGAAAGAAGTTCCATGGCTGTTTGGGCACATAGTACTGGCACTCACTTAAGGGACTGAATGAGCCTTTTTTCATATTGTGCCCACAAAAAGAAAAGTGTGAAACACAGATTTTAAAAATGAATTGCCTAAGACTTAGCTGGATTTCACAGATGAACATCTACTGTTTTGTCTTCTAAATACAGAAATACTCATTCCAGCTCCCTTAAGATAAAATATGGTTTTGCCATTGACTTTGAAGAGATCCGAATTCTCAGACCACCACTAGCTTAAGTTGAAATTAAATATTACTTTAGTGCAAAATGGCGGAAACAATCTATTTCATTTGTTCATAAATTTAAAAATTCATAATAAACAAACTTACTCTGCACCAATAGATAAAAAGCTACAGGATTCTGAGGAAACCACCCATCCTTCAGTTTCTGCATTTGTTTTCCCTGCAACAATTTCAAACAGTAATAATAGCATTTTCACAATTTTTTAAAACTTTATCCCTTTTTTAAAAGTTCATTTCATACTTTTTTGAAAGTTGAATACTTTATACCAGTATTGATTCCCAAAAGAACAGGACCAGAAAGTTAATTCTCCCTTTATTATTCTCAGTATTCTACCATTTTTAAAACACTTAGTATGCAAAAAAAAGTAATGGCATTCTGAATTATTGAGACTGCACTGAATCTAACTACAGCTTGCCTTCATCTTGCATTATGTCCTTTCCCCGATTTTATCTTTCCATGTTTGTTCTTATTTAATTCTGTGTGATTCACGAGGGGGAAATTACAGTTGTATCTTTAAGTGGGGGAGGAGCAATAATCCCAATCAAAGTGATCACTCAATAAGTAGACAATTTAGTTATACTTTAGAACAGAATGAGTCGGATGTCGGAGAGGCCCTGGGCACCAATTTAAAATACTTAGTTAAAAAAAACCCCAATATTACAAATGAGAGTATTTAAAAACACGAGTTCAGCTCAGGCCAATAGAGTTTAGTGAAGTCATACCTTTTCCATATATATCACCTACTGGAATGAGGCGGCCAATGCAAAGTGGCCGGTTCCCATATGGATCACGCACTGCATAGATAATGTCCTTATGCATCATCAGAAGAGAATATGAAGTGGGTGTTTCATGCATTAAGTTCTTTATTCTGAAATAGGAAAGATAATTGTAGACAGAGATAGATGGGATTCTTGATATAAGCAAACATCTAACAACTCCAATGGTTGTTTTGCATAATTGGGCAGCAGCTGCTGCTTCCTATTCCTTTACCTTGCTACCCAATCTGGTGTGTCATCTTGCTCCAAAGGAGGAGTGAACGCCAGCAGCTGAGTGATTAGTTCACTGTCGGAACTGGTAGAAAGTCCTACTCCATGGCGCATTAGCTATAAAACAGAGGGGGAAAGATACAGGTTTATCAAATATATGCCAGTGATGTATTTGTTTTGCTTTGTTAAACCACATCTCATTTAACATCATGAAGTTAAACATGTATGAAGCATGAATGAAAGAGGTGGGTCCGTGCACCAAGACACCTCTCTCTGTCCTTTAAAGACCTGGTATTCAAGGGAAGAGAATGCTCACATCATGTTCTTCAAATGGACATTGTAAATATGGGGGAGGAGAGCTATAGAAAGGGAGTCAGGCGGCTCAGGGATGTAATTAGAAGTTTTTGGTGAAGAGCGCATGTAAGAGAGCAATACAACATACAGCCTACTCAAGGTCTACATCTACCTTGGTACATATTTATTTATTTAGAAAATTTCTATGCCGCCCCATTTGCCGAAGCCTCGGGGCAGCTCACAAAGATATCAATTAAAATATAATACAATAAAATATAAACTAGTTAACAATATAAAATAAAATAAGTCGCCCTGGCCGAAGAATAAAATAAATAAATAGTATTAACAGTTAAAATGATGTTTGAATAAAAAGGTCTTCGCCTGGCGCCGAAAAACAAATATGTTTAGGGCTGTAGTCTAAGGCTGTTTTCCTGCATTCCAACAAGCACTGAAACAGGAGACAACATGCATTGATAAAAGGGGAGGTTATAAATCTCTATTTGGAAGTGCATATGATGTGGGTGTACCTGCCACTCTTATCTCAGAGAAACTTTTAACTCACTATGGCTTACTGAGGAATTGGTTTGATGTGTCGCCTGAGTTGCATGTCTATTTATTTTTGCAAATTACTTATGTATTCCATCTTTTCCAGGGTTTAAATTGTGAACAGTATGAAGAATACTTGGAATACAACGAGTTATGCAATCATAACCTTCTTTCACCATGTATTTAATTAGTGATGAACAGACACTCCTTGAATCAATAGTCGTTAGTAATGAGTAATATATATATATATATATATATATATATATATATATATATATATATGAATTCCAATTGTACCAAATTGCATGTATAAGTATACTGAAGGAGTTTACGGATTAAGTAATCATGCATTTGCATTTTAAAAACATGCCTCCAAGAGGTATTGTTGTTGTTGTTGTTAATTTTCATTTCTATACTACCCAACAGCCAAAGCACTCTGGGTGATTTACAAAAGAAATGAATTTTGTTCTCATGATGATTTGCTTTAATCGTAACTATGGTACCACAGTAAAAAAAATAATCTCATAAAAGGTTGCAGTACTCTATTAGGATTGTGTAGCAAATTATATATGTAAGAGGGAATTACTAGAAGTGGAGATTAAGAAGTACAAAATATAATTATGAATTTAATATGATGTGAAAACAGGAGACTATATATAAAAATCAGCAATAGGTTTTACTACATGTCCCTTGAATTTGTAGATGTTCTCAATATTTTGAAGAACATTGTTTACATCTATATTAGTCATAGTAATTATTCCCTATTTTGACTATTTTACTTGGACGTGACAACCATGTTTCATCTCTATATACCTTTTTGAAATCTGCCATAAGTTCTGCAGAACAACCAATCCGAAATCTTATGACAGTGCCAGAGCTAGTCTTCTTTCAGCACAGGAGGGCAATGTGTATGGCCTTTGGGCCATTCAGCTGTTTGGTGGGCTTGGGAGAGCAGGATTGCCTTGGGAAAGAGAAATATGGAAATGGCCCTTCCTCTCTATGTAAATTGTGCACCTCCTCCCTGCCCAGCTGATAGGTAGCTTCCCCAGTGCCAATCAAGTAGGAAGCGGGAAAGTGGATATGTGATGAGGTCTCAGTGTATAGGGAGGGGAGGTTTCGGCCTAGGCATTCCTATACATGGGGCAGAATGAGCATGTGTATATGTGTCTCTGTGTGTGTGTGTGTGTGCGCATGTGTGTGCCCATGTATTCCGTGCAGAAAGCTGGTGCTACGTCCATCAAACAACATGTAGCTCCCAACCCACTAATGTGATGCCCATGCAGGCAAAGGTTTCCCACCCTGTCCCAAAGCACAAAACCTAACCAAAGACATAATAGGTTATTCTCCGAGAGTATCATGGTTCAAATTGACTGTCTTAAGAACATAATGGAAGAGAAAGAAGGTGAAACATGACAAGTCAGAAGCGTTAAGAAAAACAAAGGCAATAGATACAACTCATGATAAAACACAGGATGGCTGCATGCATTACATTATTTTTTCACATCAAATAGCTACTATGGGGAAAACATGCAAATTTCATACATTCTTAAAATCATCTATGGATTTTCACATGACTAAATAGAACAGAGTCCTGATTTTGTGCCATCTGTAAATGTAAACTTACTTCCCCCTTCTGTTTCTTCACGTGTAGGAGGAGTGCAAAATGCTAGGTTGATCCTTACCTTTCTCCGTAGCCGCACAGCATTTGTCAGCTCTCCATTGTGGGCTACAGCAATCTTCCCATGCAGTGTTTCCACAACAAATGGTTGACAGTTATCCAAGACAGAGACTCCTGAGGTAGAGTATCTTGTGTGGCCAATCCCAAGGTTTGAAACATATAGCTTTTTCAGACTGTCTTCACTGAACACATGGTTAACCAGACCCATTCCCTGCAAAACAACAGGGAAATTAAGTACATGTTCTTTAAGACAGATCTGGTTTTCAGGAGAGGGTTAACTCGCGGCCAGTTGTTTGCCTTATTTATTTGACTTTCATATTGTCCCATTAGACATAAGGCTCCCTTATTTCTTTCAGGGTGGCTTGTCATGATGTCTGAACGCAGCATGATTTCCACAGCCATGCTCAAGCCATTCTGAAATCCCTTGGCTTCTTGTTTAGGTGTTCCAGGTGGTTTGTTTTCAGAATAGTTTGTTGTGATGTGTGAAACTGCCATGATTGCTTGTGTAGCTTGTCAGAAAGAGGTAAGAAAGCCAGAGCAGTAAAACACACACACACACACACACACACACACAGACACACACACCACCTTGGTTCCTCTTCCTGATTTTGCTAATGATATCCTCTCTGTTATGCTTTGCAATGAAACCAGTCCATTTCTCTTCCATTTCACTGCCTCCCCAGACAATGAAGTAAGGTCGCTAACCTGTAACTCTTGTTCTTTGAGTGGTCCTCTGTGCATTCACACATATAGGTTCTGTGCCTGCATGTAACCTGTTCTGAGAAGATTGATAGCGGAGATGTTTTCAGCAGAAATCTTGTCCTGGGATGAAGGAGGGGTTCCCACCTAATCCCTCAGTCTGAGTGACTTGAGACTGGCATCATGGTCCTATATCAAGGAAAGCAGTTTCTGTGAGTTATGGAAAGTGTTTCTGGACTTGCAGAAGGCCAGGGCTCTCCACACATCAGGAGTGAAATGCTGCCTTGACCTGGACCCAGTGGTTTAATGTCTGGAGAGATTATGTTGGATTGGAGTGGGAACAGCAAAAAAAAATTAAAAAATAATAAAATCCATCTGGGCACTTGTAGGAGGTAGGGGAACCAGGGTTCTGGGTCACCATCGTGAGACCAGGATGCAGTCCTTTCGGTCCTGATGGACTTCATGACCAGAGGGAACGGGGGGAAGAGGTAGTACACTGTGCCTGAGCATGTGTGCAGGATGCAGCTTGGGTGTTTCTGCAGGCCATGCTGTGTTGGGTTGCAAAGAGGTCTACCAGCCCCATCTCATCTAGAGTTCTTATGGATGTGGTGGTGGACTTCATGGAGGCACTGCTGAGGGCATCAGAGGAGGATTCTGGATCAGATACATATTCCTCAGAGCCTAAGGAAGGGAACCCTGGCATGGATGTTGACAGTACCAAGTCAGTGATAAGGACTTCAGTGCTAGGGTGCTCAGAGCTGCCACATGTGAGGCCTGTAGAACTGGCCTAGCTCTGGTGGAGGAGCAGTGCCAGGGATGCTCCTGTTGGAGTAGAGCTCCTGGTGGTATCATGGGCTGTAGGTGCTCTTCTATCCCAGCAGAAGTCTCATGGGTTGTATGTCTTTCTGGGCAGGGGCAGGACCAGCCATTCCTACATTCTGTACCAGTCCAAGAGAGGGAGCTCAATCAGTATCTCCAGCATTCAAGTCCATGTGGAGGCTCCTATGGGATTTGAGATGACAGGGCTGAGTCCCTTGTCTTGGAAGCTAGTAAGGGTGCGCACTTGGGTGGCAAAGGTGGTGGGTTGTCACTCTTGCCCTTGGAGATGGAGGTGGCAAGAATGGCTTCAAGCACTGGTCCTGAAGAGTCGAGTTGTGAGGACTTGGGTGTGTTTCTTGTGCCCTTCCTCTTGCCTGGTTCTGCCATTTTTGTTCCTCTTGCCTTTTTGGTGAGCTTCTTTGCCTTAGTGAGCTTGATGGATCAGCCCAGTGTCAACAGAGTGTCCAGGGTGTTTGTGGCCATGACTAAGGTGGGCAGAGTGGGTGGAGATGCCAGGGCCACTGAAGTGGAGGGCTGTTTGGTAGGTGTGAAGGGGTCAACTCTGCTCCATAGTTCAGCTTTGAAGCAGTTGGCTCTGTTCTTCCCGGACTGCTTCGTAGCTCTCTCCCAGGCAGAAGAGGCATAGAGAATGGCTGTCTGTCCATTGGAGTTAGTTCACCGGTGCAACAGATTTATTTTCTAAATGGTGCTTTGGGCGCCATTGTAGGGCAGGAAGTAGAAAGGATAAACAAAGATTAGGCTGGAAAACAGGGAAGAGATGCAGATGGGAGAAAGTAGGGATAGATTTTCTCTCTGTTTTATAGAAGGAATTGGGAAAAAGGGGCAGGTTTTCTTGCTTCAGAAAAGCAAGAATTTTAGGAGGAGAAAGAGGATAACTACAAGAGTGTGGAGAAGGAACTTTCTGATGCACCCACGATGGCAGTTGAAGTGAAGGACTGGGCAAGAACCCTACATGCCAGGGTGGGGTTGGGGTTCCTGCCGAAAACATTTCTGCTGTAAAATCTTCTCATGTAAGCTCCACACAGGCACAGAGCTCATATGTGTCATGCACACAGGCCACAAAGAAGAATACTTTGTTTCCAGCTTTGAGGAAGAACTGTGCAAATTTAATGGTTATTTCTCCTACACTTGGGAGATTTCCACAAATTTATTTTTTCCACCTTTGCAGAATGACTGCACTTTAATGTATCTATATAAATGTCCCTGAAAGTTTTTTTTTTTTTTAAATCATGGTAAATATGCATAGTAGGCGCATGTTCCACAAAGGCCCTTGGGGTATGTGCAGAGAGCCACAAGGAGGAATAATGGGGGAATAAACCATGGTGAGCTGCAGAGTGGCTGATTGTCTCTTAGAAGCAGTTAAGTGAATGAACAACCAGCCCCAAGTAGCTCATTTGCAAAGTGGATTATCATGCTGTGAGAACTGGCCTATGTTTTGCTTTTCTAAAGTATTCTCTGCAGCACTGGAGAACTCATATATGCCAGCACAAATAACAAGTTCATCTCACCTTAACTTTCCATTTTTATGGCTCAAGTCTCAGAGTGCAGATTTCCCTTCATTATCCCACTGGCTCCTCCATACCCACTTCTGAAACACTCAGGAGAGCTCCTGTTGTCTGGGCCACAGCCTGCAGAGCTCTGCTTGGCAGCAACATGGGGGCAGCCCCCCCCCCCGCCTACCGAATTACCACCTCTTTGCTGTCCATCAACTCTCAACATTGGGATGCTCCTGGCACTTATACTACGATTTTCCTCACAGCTACTTTGAACAATTTCCAACATTGTATGTATTATTGTGTATTATATTGTTCTATTTCATGGTGTTGTTTAGGATTTGTTTAAATGAGAAACAGTACAGAAATACTACGTAATTTTATTTTGTACAATGTGTTTTTTTTATACCTTGAGGACCTTTCTAAGAAAAAAAGGCACATCTGTTACCCGTTGATGGGAGTTCAAGCTTCTTTTTCCCTCTTTTTTCTGGTAACACTTAATGAAAATACATGTTCTTATTTTATTGCTGTGAAAAGATAGGAACTTTCATGTCTTGTTTGCAATTGCAGCATGGAATTGTCTCTATGCAATTATCATGGACACCTATTTCATAGAAGCACCTTTCTACAACGTAGGCTGCTGCCTCAGGAACTTTTCAGCTGTTTTCAAATACTGTTCAACAAAGAGTTCCTCACTGCTAAAAGTAATCTGATACTTTTCCCACAGCCACATCTGTATTCTCTTCTCCTATAACGGGAAGCCACACATTCATTTCCTTCCTGCTACTTAGCTGCATCAGTGTCCAGTGCCTTCCCAACTCCCTGTGCAAGCAAAATAGGCAGAATATCCTGATATTCAATTAACTTGCTGCTCTCTTTTTCCACCACACTTACCTGGCTGTGCAGTCAATCCTATGCATAGAAGGACAACAGTACAACTTGCACACAGTCCATTGTTCTATTTGCACATAGGAAAATGACACAGAGAGAAAAGCTGCTCTTATACCTTTCAGTGGAATTGTATTATAATTACTAATTGGAAGCTTTTCCTTCTAAAGAGAGTTTGGGGTTCAATGCTAAAATGATACAGGTTCAAACTCTGGCATTAACATTGCCAAATGAAAGATCCCCTCTTCTAAAAGTTCTCCAAAATGGACACTGTAGAATTTTTCACATGGTACATTTACTTGCACTGGTAGGTATGGTGAAGTTACAGCATTTGAAATTTAAATAGGGGAAGTCATTTTCCTGACTAAAAGTACCAAAAGGGTTTGTTACCTGGAACCTTTCTGTGACAGTCAATCTGGAACATTCTATCATTCTCCCCCCACCCCCTCCCTGTGCCTCCTTTTGGGTAGGTAAGATTTCAAATTCTCCTGTAAGAGGATAGTCCTCTTGCCACTGTGCAGGGGAAGTCCTGACCAGCTTGTCCTTTGTTGAAAGCAGCTTGCTATTATTCTAAAGCAGGAACACACTTGGAATCCATTACTGAGTCAAATATGAAGCAAGGAGAAATAATAGCTATATTGTAAATACAGGCAGGGTAGTACCTTGAAAATTTGAACTGCAGAACATTTCTAAAATTAGTTCTCCTTTAATTATCCTCATGAGTATAATGGCAATATTTTTGTTTGATGCTTTGAAGGTTGTCTTAACTGATGACTGAACTTCCTTTGGCCTCACACTAGAATTTCCAATGTACCAGGGCCAAAAAACAAAAAACACCTGGCCTCATCTTTAGTATTTATCCCTTTAATAGTATCTTGCCCCACAGAAAATATAGGTGAAATTTTCTATTGCAAAATAGCGACTTAATTGAAAAGATGCCAACCTCACTTCAGCCAGCATTTCTTCCCCTACATCAAGATGAACGCAGACACAGTATAACTTTGTTTTGCCATATTTGCATATTTTTGCAAGTTCTAATGATTTCATACACATGTATCCCTGGTGAAAATGAATATGTCTGTATATAACTATTATCTGCACCTCTTGACAGGAAAACTGTCATGTTCAAAGTTGTCTTTTGTACTGCTATTGATTGTAAATGTTAGAATAAGGCCTTGGATACTGGAAAATCTGGTTCAAACCCTGATCAGCTATGAAGTTTCCAGGCATATTCCTGGTATGTATGCAGTGAATGATTTTGAGTCCTGACAACATTCATTTTAATAGGTCATGCATAGCTTCATTTTCTTTTAACTACAGGAATAATGAATAAGCTTTCCATTTTACCTTGTGTACTTTTAATGAATGGGCTGACTCTCCATCACTTGTCACAATCCCTGCACTCTCCTGGCCCCTATTAAAAAAAGAAAAGAAAAAGCAGCTTAACTTACCAAAACAACGTCCTATATGCCAATAATGAATGTATTCTCTGTGTGTAGGTTCTACTATCCACACTGAATATGGAGATTTCAGCAGTCTTGGAGAAGCCCCAAGGTTCACAGAATTGGCCAAAATAAAACAAAACTTCCAAAGACCTTTGAATGGGCAAACATTCCCCCTAACACCAACAGCCCATCGGAGAGCCACAGAATGCAGGCTGAGTAGAATGGAAAATTGGTGAAACGTGAAATGGAGTATCCAGCAAAAGACTATTCCTGCCTGGCTGCCTTAACAGGGGCTCTCTTTATCACGACATTTCCTTGCAAGTCTCACTTGTATAGTATTTGCTGGGGCCATCAATTCCAGTCCTGAGCCATCTCACCCTGGGTAGCCCAACAGCAGAAAGACCTGGGAGATGGGAAAGAAGCACCACCCGTTCTGCTTTTTCTTTCCTGAAATATCCTACACCCTTGGTCATACTTGAGTACAACTGCAAGACCTTTTCCAGGCTGGTTAAAGCCCTGCAAATAACTTAAGAGGTGGGAATACATTTTATTGGCTACTCATCTGTTTTGCTTCTTTATGTTGTACTTCACTTGAATGTGATCATTTAAAAGATGAAGGAAGCACGTTGCTTTGCAAAGAGCATTAGGTGGGTTGAGAAAGGTCTTGCTTCCCACAGTGTAAACATTCCCTCCACCTCGGTCTCGCCTCTGATCGAATGTGTCTGGAATCTTGCCAGTGGCATATGCTACTAAGAATGATCACTCATTCAGTTCCCTTCAGTGCCAAAGAACATAATCTATAATTTCTCTAGTCTGAAGCTTATTGATATGGTCATTATGATCAGCTCAATCCACTCACTGAAGTTCAGTTAGCATTAATTAATTCCTCACATTACTGTTCTGCCCCATAGCTGAAGTTCTTTAGGCTGTTCACATGAAGTAGCCATAGAACACAATATAACAGTATAAAACTAATGGTATAAGAGAAGAATAATGACCAAATAAAACATAGCAGCAGTACTAAGATTTAGAATACTGATTTTAAACAAAAGACTAAAATGCCTGGGAAAATAAGGTCTTTACCTGGTGCTGAAAAAAGCACAATATGGCATCAGGCAAGCCTTTGTCTTGAGAGCTGAAGGACCCATGACCTAATACCTAGCATGCAGCAAGAGCTGTTCTCTTCTCCCTATTCAACTGTAAGGGTGAGAGAGTCCATCTAATCAGAGTTCCAGTGGGTGAACTGGGGTGGGAGAGCAGATGGACCCTTTCCTTCCTGCTGCCATTCCCCAGGGCCCCCAAATCAGTATTACAGTAAAGTGTAAAATGCTAAGGACCACCCCTCTCACACTCACCAGACTGAATCTGTATCAGGGCACCTATGCTTTCTTCTGAGAAGCAAAGCAAAGTAAGCAAAGCAAAGCAAGAACTGACATAATTGCATACTATGTCTTAAAAGTAACTTGTTGGCTCCAAGCTTTTATTCAGGCAACAGTTCTCTTGTCTGGCTTCTACTCAGGAGACACTGGAACGGGCTTTGGGTTCATTGGGTCCTCTTCCTGGCACCCTCATTACAACAAGAAGAAAACAGTTGAAATATCCTTTACTAAAATCTGCTCCTTCCTGAGCTAAAGCACACAGGCAGTAAGATCTGCAACACCAGGATTTGTCCCTCTGCCCTCAGTAAGCTATCAGATCCATCAGTGAGAGCAAAAGGAGTTCTCAACCCTCCTCCAGTTATAAGCACAATCTATAACCTTCCCTCTGGTACAATCCTGAGAAGAACCTACCAAGCTCTCATTACTTGTTACATTTTATTACCCAGAAAAATGACAAAGATTTAGAAGATTTAACAGCATCTGTTCCAAGGATGCTATAATCAATTCAGAGGCAGCATTTTTACTGACAATTCAATTGTATTAACTTCCAGTTATGTCATCACCTTCCACATTTTATAGATGAGGGTCTAAATATTTCCTGCAGTCACAGACCATGTTTGAGGCTGGCATCAAGCTCTCAAGAGAATCCTTCATACCTGGCTGTGTCATCTCTCTGCACAGCTAATCTTTTATTTATTTATTTATTTATTTATTTTCGATTTATATCCTGCCTTTTTCCTACAAAGGGCTCAAGGCAGCTTACATTTATTTATTTATTTTTATTTATTTATTAAAACATTTTTATGCCGCCCCATTCGCCGAAGCCTCGGGGCGGCTTACAACAATAAATCAAAAATAATTATAATATTAAATTACAAAAATATAAACATTAAATTAAAAATATAAAAATACAATATAAAATAAGCCGCCCTGGCCATTTCCTCCTCCATCTTATCCCCACAACAACAACCCTGTGAGGTAGGTTGGGCTGAGAGTCTGTCACTGGCCCAAAGTCACCCAGTTGGCTCCATGGCTGAGCGGGGACTCGAACTCAGATCGTCTGAGTCCCAGTCCCATGCTCTTAACCACTGCACCACACTGGCTCTCCAATGTTAAAAAGCTGATCCTGCCCACTGCCTGAATTTGCTGACCTCACCTGCCAAATAGACCCCCCCCCACTGCACTGCAATGTATGGGGGCAACTGGTACTGGTACAAGACATTTTACTGCCTGCAGCAGAGGCCAAATGCTCTTATGGAGGGGAGTGGGCAACATTTTGAACAGCCTTCATCCATTGCCCCATTCCCCAATTCCATCTGTATTTGCAAGGACATAAAAAGCTCTTTGGGGAAAATGTCCAAACCTGTTCTGACCCCCTAAGAAGCCAAGCAGGTACATCCCTCTTTTCATCCAGTGCTTGTTAATTAGCTTACCCAGTGTCAGAATGCTTATCAACAACTACAGTGTAAAGGACAATCACTGTTACTAATGTGACTGACAGTTTCCTGACTTTCTGCAGTTGACTTCCTTCTGACCTCACTGTTTCCAAGCCTTCCTGCCATATGTAAGGTATAAAGCTCCTGAAATTCTCCTTAATCCACTATGCATCTGATGAAAGGGATGTTCGTCCCTGAAAGTTTATGCCAGAATTTGTTAACCTTTAAAGTTCCAAAAGACTCTTGTTCCTGCTACAGTAGATTGATAACTGCCCTCTAGAAATTACTTCTACTTTTCTGATTCAAACTTCATTCTATTGTCCCATTTCCTTTCACACAAGATTCCTAGATTACAACATTGTTAGAGGGTGGGGGAGAAAGGCATATTCATTTTGTCTGCTTTTCTTATCCAAAACACCCCCCAAATTTTATCAAGAACCAGTTGTTTTCAGAGCTACACTCCCTGAATACTATGGGATATCAAAACGGTTTGTCTAGGCTGGACAGGATTGCCCCAGGGCAACCTACAATTAGCATTTGAAACATGTATTTTGTTTCATTAAAGTGCTTTCTGAAATGGGAAAACAATTAAAATCAAGCTATTTCCACTTAGTTACGGCAACTTCCCCATGCTAAGAGTTGCAGTCCAAGACATCTGGAAAGCAACAGGTTACAGAAGGTTGAACTACTTTATCTAAATGAAAAACTAGGCACAATGGTGTTAGAAACATATGACAATAAAATTAACAGCTATATGTGTAGTTTTATCTCATGTCTCTTATCAACATGATATACTTGTAAAAGGTAAAAATTTCATCATGACAACTAAAAAAAAAGAGTACTATAATACAAATCTGATCCCAATATTTTAGCTAATTGTTAGTATATTCCTGGCAAACTCAAAATGGTTACTCTCATGAAAATATTGTTAATGGCTTTTAATTCTCAGAATAAAAATAGCAATTATATTTGCTGTGAATCACAAAATGGCTAAATATCTGACTCTAACTAATAAATTTGCAATTGGAATAATTAAACCAGTATACGTAACATATCATAAATCACAGACTTGAGTGCTGATCCTTAACTACGGGAACAGATTTTTTAAAAATCAAATGCACTTGCTAGTAAGCATGTACAGCATCAGGGTGCAAATCTATTCCAATGCAGTCTGGACAAACCAGAATATATATTTAGAGCTTTAATGTTAATTACAGAGCAGTGGCTATATTTAAAGCACATTGCATAACAAGGGTTAAAGAATGAATTTTTGTATCCTTGGAGTTATGCTTAATTTCTGTCAAGCAGAAAAGAGATTATTCTGGGTACCAATTATTATACTTTGTAATCATTTGCGCTTGAGCTGCTTTATTTTTCTGCTTCTAATACCGAACCTGCTTATTTGGCAGTTTCTCAAGTTACTCCCCTCAGGCAGCTTGAGCCAGTAAAACTGGATCCTTTCATCTCTGTGGAGCTTACTGACAATCAGCCGTCTGGTTTCCTAGGAAACAAAATCTTGGCTAGAAATAGTGAATCATTTCCAGGTCACTTTCAACATGGAGAGTGGAGCAGGAAGGCACTGGACTGAAGAGGAGGTTAAAGCCTTGTTAAGCGTCTGGTCAGAAAAAAACATCAGAAAGCAACTCCATGGAACACTAAGGAATAAAGGAATATTTATTTACATTGCTAAAAGGCTACAGGAGTTGGGGATCTGCAGAGACTGGAAACAATGTCGTGCAAAGTATAAAAATCTGAAATATGAATATAGAACAGTTAAATATGCCCACAGCTCAGGAGATGCTACAAAGACCATGAAGTTTTTTCATGAATTGGATGCCATATTGCAACATGAACCTGTCACACAGTTGACAGGGGAAGAAAACGGCAGGTGTTCAGCAAATGACATCATAAGTGCCACCAGGGAGAACAATGAAGGTAAAAAAGCTCTCTTCCTTCTTATCTTTAGCTAAAATACATACAGGCTGGAAGGACTCAAACCCACATAACCACAGATGGCTCAGTTGGTAGAACAAACCGACTTAATGCGCACCCTCCTTATCCGTGTGTATGTGGGTGGGTGGGGGACAATTCAGTGCACCAGTTTTTCTATAAATAGATAAGCCTGATAGAGTTAAAGTAGCTTCTGGGGCTAGC